AAAACTCTTGAACCTGTTCAATTCTTTTCATTTTTTCTTCAAATATAGGCCACATTTTTATTTATTTTCTTGTTGTAAAACCGATCACAGAACTTGGCATAAATACACGTTCAAATAGGCAATTTTTAAATTTCTCTTGGCTTGACTGTTCTTACATTTGACAAATTCAGTTTCCCCTATACCTAGATGTTGCCCAAAAATCTCCTACGCACTGTAACCCCGTTTAGACACCCCGTTGTTACACGTGATCAAAAATTCCTAAATGGAGTATCATTTGAATCTAATTTCTCTACGAGAATCTTAATTTCTGCTCGACCCATGTTTAGCCAGTTATGAATAGAGAAAACCAAGTTGATCCGACAGCAGTTTGGAATCTGTTGTTTATGTATCTCCTTCTCACAGATAGAATATTCCTAAAGGAATCATTTGCATCCATTCCAATACAAAGGTCTCCTGTAGATACATTTACATGGTGGTGATAAGGCACAATGTGGATCTTCGTTGTCTAATTACCCTTTATAGGATCAGCTTTTGCCCAAACAGTTATGATTGGAATCATTCCTGAATAACGTCTTGCCTCACTGTAAGACCCGTTTTACAAGTGCCAGATTCAAAGAGGGGATCCCCGACCCGTTTAGATCGTCTGATGGTATACTCTTTTAGGGATCACTTTTTCCCAATTTACAGGCTCATATGGAGATCCAATCCTAATCTGCATTAGTGCTAGATGATAAGACCCGGCTTTACAAGTTGCCTCCAAAATCCAAAAAGGAGCTCCGAACCCGTTTAGGAACCAGTTGTCTATACTCTTTTAGGATCCTGCTTCCTTTGTCATCAAAAACAGTTTCTTTTTTGAATTTTCAATCCTAACGTCGTGANTCGGATCCCTTTTGGATTTGGCCACTTGTAAACGGGGTCTTACCAGTCACACCGTTAGGATTGATTCCAAATGAACCTGTTTGGGAAAGTGATCCTAAAAGGGTATAGACAACGGTTCTAAACGGGTTCGGATCCCTTTTGGATTTGGCCACTTGTAAACGGGGTCTTACCAGTCACACCGTTAGGATTGATTCCAAATGAACCTGTTTGAGACAATGATCCTAGAAGGGTAAAGACAACGGTTCTAAACGGGTTCGGATCCCTTTTGGATTTGGCCACTTGTAAACGGGGTCTTACCAGTCACGACGTTAGGATTGATTCCAAATAGACCTGTTTGAGACAATGATCCTAAAAGGGTATAGACAATGGATCTAAACGGGTTTGGATCCCTTTGGATTTGGCCACTTGTAAACGGGGTCTTACCAGTCACGACGTTAGGATTGATTCCAAATTGACCTGTTTGAGACAATGATCCTAAAAGGGTATAGACAACGGATCTAAACGGGTTCGGATCCCTTTTGGATTTGGCCACTTGTAAACGGGGTCTTACCAGTCACGACGTTAGGATTGATTCCAAATGAACCTGTTTGAGACAATGATCCTAAAAGAGTATAGACAACGGTTCTAAACGGGTTCGGATCCCTTTTGGATTTGGCCACTTGTAAACGGGGTCTTACCAGTCACACCGTTAGGATTGATTCCAAATGGACCTGTTTGGGAAAGTGATCCTAAAAGGGTATAGACAACGGATCTAAACGGGTTCGGATCCCTTTGGATTTGGCCACTTGTAAACGGGGTCTTACCAGTCACGACGTTAGGATTGATTCCAAATAGACCTGTTTGGGAAAGTGATCCTAAAAGGGTATAGACAACGGATCCCTTGGGCTGATCACATGTAAATGGTATCTTACAGGAGACTTTGTTGGAATTGGATGCAAATGATTCCTTTTAGGAAATCTATCTGAAAAGGAGACAGACAACAGATCCAAACTGCTTCGGATCCACTTGGTTTTCTATCATGTGTAAACTGGGTCTAGCTAGAAATTAGATCTCGTAGAAATTAGATTCAAATGACTCCATTTAGGAAATTTTTGATCACGTGTAAACGGGGTGTAAACGGGGTTACAGTGCGTAGGAGATTTGGCACATCTAGGTATAGGGGAAACGAATTGTGTACAATGAAGAAAGCAGTCAAGCCCCCAAGAAAATTCTAAAATTTGCCTATTTGAACGTGTATTTATGCAAGTTCTGGATGGTTTTTAGCAAGAGTAAAATAAATAAAAAATGTGGCCTATATTTAGAAGAAAATGAAAGAATTGAACAGGTTCAAGAGTTTGACTATTTCGGAAGCATTCTGACAAGTGATGGTAGGTGCGAGAAGGGGATTAGGAGAAAAATTGCAATTGCGAAGAACAAGCTCATGGAGAAAAGAGCAGCCTTTGTTAACAACAATTGGTCAATTGAAACGCGAAAGCGATTTATGAAATGCGACATATGGTCAAATTTATTGTATGGAAGTGAGGCTTGGACCGTCAATAAGGAAATGAAGAATAGGCTGAAAGCAACGGAGATGTGGTTTATCGAACGATGTGCAAAATACCTTGGGCAGATAATGTCTCGAATGAAAAGGTTTTGATTAAGGTGAAGGAAAATGAATGCGTTTAACAACAGTTTTCCAAAGACAGCTGAGGTTTGTGGGACATGTCGTCAGACAGAGAGGATGGTCTCGAAAAATTGGTACTCGAAGGTAGAATTGAAGGTGTTAAAACGAGAGGGCGGCAGAAAAAGATGTTTCCTGGTGATTTGGCGTTGATGGCGGGAAACCTTCAGAAAGGGGAGATTTTGTGAACGTAAAGAAAAAGAAGAATTTAATCAATTGGTTTTAAAGGTGAAACTTTGCGATCATGAATTATTCTTTCGATATTCAATGGTCTTCTGAAAGGATTCTTTAAGGATGTTGCTTCGAAGAAATTGCATGTTGAAGAACTTGATTTATCTGGAAAAACAGGAGGGCTAGATGTTACTACCAATGGCGGGAATCGCAGGGTGTGGGGGAGGGGGGAATTTGGTAGATTGTCGGTTAAAGCACAATTTTTAACACTTTTGTGAAATGAATTTCCGCCCCCGGTCCCTGCAATACAAGACTATTAAAATTTAAGATCCATTCTTCTCGAACAGTCAGGATGATCCAAAGCAAATTGAATTTATGAAGAAAGATATTATGTTAATGTTTAAGAAGATGATTATTTTATTTCATCAGAAAAAATACGAAAACAAGGCAGGGTTTGAGCCCTTTCATTTCTTTGCTTTTGCTGCCCTTCTTCGGGCTTTTCAGATCAGATGATGAAGATAATGAAGACATATTGTCACACGATGTGAAGTATTTCAAAAAGGAAGAAGCTATGATTCAGTCTGATGATTCAGAATTCTATATAGAAGATATGTTCACAAACATAGAGAAAACCAGAACTGGAATAGTGGTTGCTAACTGATCAAATATAATCGTATGTGTAGTAGAGTAGGTCCCAGGCCCCCTGGGCAACGCGTAGACACCATGTAAACACGTGGGTGAATAGCTAGATGAGTTTGCTTGCTGTATGAAATCTCATGTCTTGCCTTGGCATATCATAGTATGAAGAAAATATTATACTCGAAAACGAATGTACTACATATATCGAGCCCAGACTGATTATGATTATTATGAAATGCTGTCTGTTTTGGAAGCTAAAGTTAACACCATTTCAGTCGTTGATAAGTAGGTACAGACTTAAAGGTAATGTCCTATTCAACTCGCCCGCGCGACGTCAGCTACAACGAACAACAGGCTCAGCGAATATGCAAGCACGAGCATAGCATGTTTTTCAACTGAGTTGATTCGCAGTGGAAGGACAGTTAAATCTTGTGCATGCTCACAATAAAATTCGCCTATTCGCAAAAAATGATCAAATCCAGCAGAAATCTGACATTGAAAAGGTGCTTTGGACAATACTGTTGGATGAAAAACTGTTGGATGAAAAACTGTTGGATGAAAAACTGTTGGATGAAAAACTGTTGGATGAAAAACTGTTGGATGAAAAACTGTTGAAGGTACTTTAGTACTTTGTTGTACCGAATCGCATGCACTGCTCTGTTACTGTAAAAATTAGCGATTCTTGAAAACTTGTGGACATCTTGCTTGCAATTATCATAAAATGTAAGTCAAACAGTGAGTATTCTTCGATCTTGTTTTTCCTTCGAGAAAACGGCAATGCTTCCTTCGATGTCACTTGTCTTCTGAAGATTCTTCATTCTTGCTCTATCTTCTTTTTTATACTTGTAATTTCGAGAAACAGATTACCTTAATTTTCTTTTTAGAGAAGTTACGAAGAGATGTTTATGTGGCTGGTTGAAAAGCCTTCGCCATTAAAGTTTAGACTGAAATTTCTCGACGCCGAATAAATTGTTACCGAAATTAGCTTTTGAGGGGCATTGACAAAGGACAAGCATAATTACTTTAACACTTGGAATTACTGTAACTTGGTGGCAGGAGATTGCATTTTATGATATTTTGGTACAGCTCCAATAGTCATTTCGTTGAGTATATTAATTAATTGCATTCAAAAGCTGTTTCGCAGATTTTCACTTAAAAACTAATGTGGCAAAGAAATGTTAACCCTTTTGATTCACCAACGGACAGCTGGACTGCTCATCACAGAGACCTGGAAACAAGGCTGTTTTCCTAGCAACGAAAATTAATACAGAAAACAATATCAATTTTTGTATTATTAGCACTTACCAGGTTTTATAATCACCATTCTTCATATATGTACAGACGTCAATTTTTATTTAGTTTCACTTGCTTGTTAAAAAAAACCGACGTCAAAAATTATGGCACATGTACCCACCCCCGTTGGTTTTCATACTCAACCAAGACATGAAACCGTATACACCAAAATCTGTAGTCAATACAAATAAAAGTAACTCACTTCATATGCACTGCAAGCCACCTGAAGACTCACATGATAAGCAGGCCTGTACATAAGCTAATATTAGATACAAAGAACTGATGCAAGGAATACAGCCAATGCATGTTGTGCATATCAAAAGCTGCCATTAGAACTGTAAATAAAAAAGACAAACTATACGAGAGAACAAGTTTCATTTACAGGGTTATCTTAACAAACTTCATCTTGACGAACTTCTCTTTGCACATTTATCAGGTTATTCACTGCGTGTTTTCAACATATACAGATATATTTCTATTGAATACTTACAACTTGGATGATTTTAACTTCTGAATAAAATAAAACGACTTAGCTATTTTATTAAATGACATTGATAGTGCTGAACCATAATCGAGTCAGATTGGTCTGCCACAACAATTTTTTTGCTCATTTGGAGAAACATACCATTCGACCATTCTTGCCATCATCCTCTTTCGTATTTTTTATAAAGGTAATTGAACTGGAAGCAGCTTTACCCGTTCGCTCTTGTTACTCCCAGCTGCGAAGGTTACATTATTTGGTTCACAAAAATTCTGACACAGCAAACGTTGATATCAGACTCCACAGTCAGGTAAAGTTCTTCCTTTTATGCCGTCTAACTGGCATGCTGAATTACGAGTGCACTTCCATTAGCCAAGAATCCTGGATCGTCAAAAGACTAAAGATCAATCTGGTTCTTCCACAAGTGGCCTCAGATTCGTGTGGTTATCTTCGATTCTGCTCAACAGCCGAATTCCAACTTGCTCAAACTGCTCATTCCATATTTGCATCATGAGGTCGACAGCCTCAGAATCAATATGAGGATTATTGCTATAGTCAAAGGCTACCTCTGGATCTAGAAATCAACAAAAGTTGGCTTAATCACGACTTGCAATGCATTTTTGCAGTATTGTAGTAAGTTAATTCTATGATCATAAGCTCAAAGGCTGAAACACTACTGCAAAAGCATCGTTTAATTTGTAGTTTGATGCTAAAAACATAAATGGAGATTCAGATACGTGAGGGATTCCTTTAGTAACCGAGGTTACTTATGTTTTTGTGTGCGAAATGCTTGGGAGTACGACACTGAAAATTTCAGCAAACTTTTGATGTATCAAAAAGAGAAGTGTATTGAAATCTCCATTGGCAAAAAAACCGAGTCTGTGCAGAGAACCTAGGAAAACGATATTTAAGCTCTTTGATTTTGGATTATAGCATATATTGGCTACTAAATATTTATGCAAGACCCATTTTCAAAATCTAAATAAGACGTTAACTCGAAGAGGCTACAGTTGCTGCTGCACTAGAAAATTCAATGGAAAAATTATTGCAACATTCACATGAACCTTTCAGCATATCGAAATTCATATTTTTTCCCATCGCAACTGATTTAGTCATGCATAAATTAAAGAAATATTCCGGTAAAAAGACGGTTTTTAAGGTAAAAGGAAGAAAACGTCTTGAAAGAAAGATAACTTAGACCGAAGTTCAATGCTTGCCAAACTTTGAAGCAGTCAAGCTCATCGATTTTGAAAGATGGGGGGGAGGGGGGAGTTGAAAATACTGTAAAGAATAATAAAAATGAAAATAATTTAATGTGCAATATGGGGAATAAAAGTTGGAATAGAATATAATAATCGCTAAATGTGCTTGATATCAATACATTCGTTTTTCCCACAAACGAGCAAAAATATTTTGCAACGGCTTGAAGCTCTGTTCACCAACATGACATACATCCACTCCAGCTGGATTCAATTAACTTCATAACAGCCTGAGCCTAACATGATGAGTTCATTTAGCGTCAATGCAAATCCGCTACAGCAATATTATCATTCTTCAAAGAACAATACGGGTTAACAGTGTTTAGAAAAATAACAGCTAAATCTTAAGTTTACGATCGCAAATCCTATTAAATCGCGTGTACTGATGGCAAGAAACCTGCAAATGGCCAGTGACCAAAACAGAATCCCTCCAGCGCATATTTTTAGTTTCAGGGATGCAAATAAGACCGGGAAGATGATTAGGCCGGAAACAAAGAATGCGGCTTTTCTTTGAAACATGCAATTTTGAAACACTGGCGTCGTCAGAGCAGATGCCTGTGGAGCTTCGCAAATGATTAGATAAACAAGAACAGGCTATCACCTGTGCTGCTCTGGCAATGTCTGTTTCTGGCACATGCAGCAGAGGTGAAATGCTTTTTAAAACATGAGAATCTTGGGAATGATCGCTTTCAACAATATCGTATAATCATGTAGAAACATGCAGTCAATATAGGTTATCAATGGTTTGATTTTGCACAAAAGCTGCTCCGTCGGCAGAGCGTGGGTGTACAGTATTATCAATACCAACTGTGTACTGTGGGTTAGTTGTTTATTAAATTTGCAGTGTTTAGAATTGTAATATTGGCATTTTAATCTTTTACTCTACAGCTTTTTTAGATTTCCCATGTTTCTAAGCTATATTAGCAATGAAGAGATACAAACTGCTTAATGCATATTTTGGTATATGTAAAAATTAGCAGCAAAGGGTAAGGGTATCAAAGATGAACATATGATATTATATTCAAATTTGCTATTTCAGCTGCTATCTTTCTATTGTAAATATATAATACATATAACAAATGAAGAGATAATTAAAAAAACAGTGATTTTTACCTGTGTAATCCTGCAAAGTTTGTATAAGATCCTCAGTTTCTTCTTCACCAAAACACGAGACAGCACTTGTTATTTTCTCGCTGTAGTTCCAAAGAGTTTGACATATCATGCAGGAAAGCTGCCAGTCTGTTTGTCCAAAGTCCTTCAGAGCATCTACAAGCCTGAAAAATCGCGCAACGTGTTGGTTATGAATTTCTCATCAGCTTTTTTAAACTTAAGGCTTGCAAGATGCCTAAATTTATATGACGAGAATGCATCTCATTTGGTTTTAGATCCTAAGAGAGTTTAACGCCTATTTTACTTAAGTAAAGCCTAGAACGTTGGTAATAATAACGTTTGAGATAAGTTCATTTCAGAAATAGTGGGAGTGAACATTGAGGATATTTGCTTGTCATGTGAAATTATTTATCAAATTGGCTTGTCAGGTTTGCAATAATTTCTTGGGCAGTGTGGGAGAGAAACTCGTACTCCATTCATTGAGGGCTTTCCTAATTAGTCCAAGCCCAGACTCCCCATGACACTAGAAAACGCAAACGAGAAGAATGGCCAATCACTGGCGCAAAATTTATTATTCTCGAACCACGCCAATTAACTGCGGTGGCTCACCACGAGGTAACGACAGAAGACTTCTGCTTTTGGATTCAAAATTTCGAAGCTGAGCACGTCAAATGGTTCAAATCTTCATTCGTTACTTTATATTTATAAGGAAATGCATGAGAAATATCGTAGAATCGCTTGTTTAGCTGGGGCCTTTATAAGAAAAAGGTCCCTTTCTCAGTTTCCGTTTATGAGAAAATCGGACGCTAGCCTGAAGCTCCCTATATTTATTAATTCATACATCAATTTCTGAAGCTCTTGCATTTTGCAACAAATAATAGTGCTGCATGGAGATAAAGGAACGAAAATACGCAGTATTTCGATGCTTCAGCTAAATAGCTTTGGGTAATTGGCAGCTTAAGTGCCAAATCAGAAAACTCAAATGAGCATCGCGGTTGACAGAGCTAGCATTTCATGCTTGATTTTGATAAACTGTGATACATATGTCCAGGGGAAAAGATCCAAAGGTTTATATACTGTAAATCCTCGAATCAGCGCCAAGGGCCCGCGCCAAATTTCAATAAAGCTAGGCTCTTATTTGTAGCGGGTTACTAATTAGTTTGAGATCATTTTTTTCAGATCGCAAATACCAAAAAGTAAACAAGATTATCGGGGAATCGTCTAAACGTATTAGAAAACGATTAATTAGTTCTCTTTTTCGAGGTCATCATAAATTTCCATTTATTCGCCATCACTGTAACAATTCCCCTAGCCATCATTGTCAAATATCAGAAACTGATTAACCTTTGAGGGAGGGGGTGTCAATAAGAAGGAAGGCACTCGTTCGAAGAATTGCGATATTTGATATAAAAAATTATTTGTATATGTCATTTGTTTTTTTGCTAGCAGAAAGGTTTTTAACAAAGAGGCAGTGCACAAAATAAGGGATAAACATACACAGAATGAAAGCTGTAAAAAATTTATACAGAGAAACACAGTACATTCGATAGTCGTGTAATTTCATTGAGAGTCTGGTATACGAAAACTCACCAACGAAATTCGATTTAAAAAAATTCCTTAATAAAATAAATCTCACTTTCTGACTCCTTTGTTTTCTTGAAAAATTTGCCTACTTTCGTTGTCCACCATAAGGTTTATCAGTACTCCACAGGAGCAAAAAACAACTTCTCTGTCCGCTGACTCCAAAAGAGTAATCAACATTTGCACGACTTCAAAAAATAGAGAGTTTCACAAAACAGGGTAAAAAATGCTAGAGGAGGTTTGCGAGAGAAAAACATGAAATTGCAATAAATTTACCTTTAATGCAACAAATCAGATGAAATTGCCAAAAATTAGAAAAAACGTAACTTCTCGCAGGATTGTTGATTCCGTACAATAAAAAAACGAGGTTAGAAAACTCCAGAATGTTGTATTGAATATTAAATCTAAATTCAGTCTCTAAACTAAAATCTTGCCCACCACAGGCCAACTGGTGTCAAATGTGATGAATGGGTAAAAATAGAAGTTTGAAATACAGCATTTCATATCGAAAGATCACTTTGAAAGAGCTCTTTTATCAAATTCCTTTCTCTTGCAAACAGCAGCTAACAGTTATCAGTTTCAAGCAGCAGGTTTTGATACGCGAATTCACTGTTTAAAATCTTAGTTTAAACGAAATTTGGCTACAGCTTGGATGGAAAATCCGATTGATCGACCGGGAAATCCCAATTGATTGACCAGCGCTGGTTTTTCACTTCCATTTTCAAAAAAGAAATAGGGAAACTGATTTCTATTATGAGAGGGGTGATAGCATACCAGAGCCAAATTAATCACGAATAAAAATGATATCCTGCAATACAAAATTACCTTTTCTTTCTCTGAGTACGTTCCTTATATCTCTACATCTTGTCAAATTGCCAAACACCCTTGTCGCCTCTATGATACAGTCCATGTTGTCGATAAACAGCAAGTTTATAAGGGCTGCAAAAGGAAGAGTTCTTAAAAACCTTGTGTATTCAGGCAACGCGGAGCGTTGAGAAAAGTGGTGGGTCTAAAAAAGTGGGGGGGGGGCTAAAACCGTATAAAAAGGGGCTTTACTGGTAGTTTATTACTTAATATATGGCATTTTTTTACAAAAAGTGGGGCTAAAGCCCCCCAGCCCCCCCCCCCTGCTCCGCGGTGCCCTGTATAGACAAGACATAACCCATTTAAGAAAACTTGCGGAATATCCTTATAGGCTTACATATATTAAAGCCTGTGCTTACAATTATTATATACATAGATATATGGCCCTGAGGAAGACTTAGAAAGCCGAAAAGAAGAAACAACTGTCTTGGCTGTGGTGAAGACATCCAGGGGTGGCTTCCAAAGTCACTGATAATTTCACTAGGCCATTTAGCTCAATGTTTGAGACGCCGTAAGCCAGAGCTCGATTCCAGTCATATATACTTGAACTTATTTCGTTCAAGCCTCGAACTTTTTTTCCGAGCAAAGCATTTTTCTTCTTGCATCCCCGTGTTTGTTCATTATATAAACAAATATCGCACTAAAGGCGAACGCTTCAAGTTGATGAACATGCGTGCAAGAGATTTAGTCATTACATTTCTCAATATTTCGTTTATTATCTTCATAGAGAGTTGCTAACAGTTTGTCTTCCATTTTCTCTTATCAGATTGATTTTCTATCTCGATCTGTCTTTCCATAAAAACTTTTTCTTCCCACTTTCGAAGCTTCTAGCCTCCGGCCTATTTAGATTTTCGGTAATATTGACGTAGTTAGGCCAAGAAACAATTTTCGTGGGTCCTACAGCATCAAAACAACAACGCGATGCGAAATACATTGGGTCCTACAGCGACTACAGCAAAATACAACTCTGATTCTGCTATGACAGGATTGGAAATCAACAAACAACCTCAGCCTTCGATTAGTGGCTGCAGGACATGAAAAACATATTCACATAAATGTATTTTTATCACCGGGTGGGTACACTCTTTTTTTCATATAAGAACCAGTAGATTTAAGTTCAGGCTGACTGTTCTTAATTTTTTCGAAAATCTGAGGCTGGATTGTTCCTAATTTGTTCTTAAATTAAAGGGTGTAAGCAGTGCTATTGCTAGCTTTTTCGCTCTAAGGAGGTGACAAATTTGAATGTTCACCGAAAAAATACTCACACATCGCCAAAAATCCTCGATTTTGAGAAAAAACGTTGTTAAAAATTGCATTTTGCAGAAGCTCAGCCTCAGCTTGTTCTTAATTTCCTCTTAACTTTTGACCAGTTTTGAGGCTCGTGTTCTTATAAAATTGTTCTTGTAAAAAAAGAGTGCATTTGATTGCAAGGTAAAGTTACAGCTGGAAACGATATGCTGCCAGCCTTCCAGCTGGAGAGGACTGTAATGACTTGGAAAAACGGCATTTGCAAAGACTGTTCCTGCTGAAGACAAAGAAATCAACGTATCTGATTAAGCAGTTAATGTTGTTTTCGATTGGACCTAGGTTTCCTAGCTGAAGAGAATGCTGAAGATAATTTCGATTTGGCTTGTGTAAAAGTCAGCGAGTTTGATATAAATCCTTAACTTTCTTTAACACTTTAAAGACACTTTCCAGTCTCAGTTGCGGAACAAGCATGATGTTTCGTCTGCACTTATAGCCCATTCCATTTCTATATTTTAAATGAACAAAAGTATTTCTATAATGAAACTTCCTGCGATAGTTCTGGTTAAAGCAAACGTAAGGAAACGCGGGTAGACGCGGAAAGACTAGCTTTGCAAGGGTCTACCCACAATTTCAAAGCATTGCCACGCGATCAATAAATAGGTCAACAAACATTCTATGCACTGTGAATTAATTCTAGCAAATACCTTCAGTGAGATTCTTGGTTCGCCTCGAAAAGGCGCTATCGTCAGAAGAATAGAACGAGAGATTATTCAACATTCCTGCTGTGTTGATGAATAATTCTTCAATCACTGGCCCTTCTGATTTGATTTCTACAATAGAGAAAGTCAATTAAAGCACAAATCGAACGTTTGGCTAGTACAGTATCGAAATAGAATTGTGAATTTCAGGCCATGTTTTCAGAGGTCGATAGTGGAATATAATAATAACTAAATGGTTTTCTGGACACCAAATGACCCTTCAGCTATCGTATTACGATTATTATATTAATGAAATATATGAATAATTAGTTGACTCTTACAAAGTGACCTCCTAATTTCTTTCTGGTCATATACGAACAAATATTACATATCTTCGAACATTTCAATTGATTAGCAGAGTTTGAATTTTGTAGAAGTTCTGTCAAATAAAAATAATTAAAGTAAGCTTTTACCTACATCGTAAACACAAAAAAATATATCTAAATGGTGGCTGACGATTATTTGCCTCCGTCTGCACAGAAACTATGCTAAACAGTTGAATCAATGCTTCTAATGATGTTAATTTATATTCCTAAATTGAATACATCTCGTTTTTTACAAACTAGAGAATAAAAAACTACAATTTTTTGCAAAAAATGGTTAGCATTTCCTTACAATAACAAATACAGTTGCTACTTTACTAAGAAACCTAATTCACAAAGAAACATCATTTGTTAACTGTTTACTTCATAGATATCCATGCTATACGTTGAATGCGGAGATCTTGAACTCAACAGCGGTTCTATTTGAGTTGAAATTCTTACAGACTATCGTGTTAGCTGATATCGAGTTATCCTATCTTGCAATTGTCATGAATATACTTTTAAAGGCATTGAGTCATGATAAAATGGATCGGGTATACTTTAAGTGCCAAAATCCGCTGAGTCATGATTTTCATGACTGCGATGCTATTGGTTGACCTGGAACTGGTCACATGAACTCACCTCGTACTGATTGACAAAACAACTTTCATCAATAGCAAGTTATCCAACAATGGATGCAAATATCACATGAAACAGCAACGATCACACCGAAACCAAATGCACCCCTATAGAGAAGGCCTATTTACCATGACTCAATACCTTTAACCATGCAGCAAGAGACTGTGAAAATGTCCCTTTATATATCTACCAAACGTCTTGGAACACCTACAACATACTTGTCATTCGCATTAGCTGTTCCCCTTCTCCCCTTAAATGTTGGAATATTCATCAAATGAATACACTATCCGAGCGTAGCATGTATTTTAGAAACAAAATGGCTGAGGCGTATTTTTAACATTGCTTGGGGAAAGGGCAACACGACACAGGACAACACAGCTACAAGAGTTGACTGAAGCGATCTGCGTGTTCCAAGTACTTTTGGCAAGCATTGTAGATCGTCACGATCAATAATCCCAAATTCATTTAAAAATGTTTTATAATAACAAATAATTATGACGTCTGTTAGCCTAAATACTAATGAATAAACAATCAAAAGAATAATAATTTAATTTTATACTAAAACCTATTATCAACTGAAATTAGCTACCAAAAGTATCGTAAGACATGTAAGCGATAGAATATTCATTGTATGATGAGGAATCCCTATCAGAAAACACGATAAAACACGGGGAAGTAACATTTAAAATTATCAGTTGAGAGCGTGACAAGCGTTTCGGGTGATTATCGAAAGTTCGCTAGTAGTACAGAGCGATAAGATTGATGACCTAGAGATGGAATATCGTAGGTGAACAGGAAGCAAGTCGCAGCTTGCTTCTTGTCAGGCGAAACAAAGGATAACTTAGGCATTCACAGAGCGACTTCACGTGTCCCATTGCACTTGAGCGTAATTTACCAACAATTGCAGCAAAAGAACAACAGTCTTTCAAACGCAAAACCTTATTTTGATTGTGCAAGCAGATCATATCAACCCGGTGTCAGGTGTTTTGTAGCCGAAAATCCTTCGTTTTTGTTCACATCCTCATCACTTAATAGGCTAAATTCACAGCGGCCACGAAGATGCAGCGATGCTACTCAAAATACAACAACGATTTAACACCGTAACATCCACAAAATCATGCATATCACCGTCTTCATTAACTTTCCTGTACATTTGCTTAGCAATGTATGTGACAGCGCATTCAGTATTAGGTCGTGTAAAATCAGAACGCGTTACATATTTTCATTTCAAACAGCAGAGCTTATGCACAAGAGAAATACTATAAGGTATTGCAACAGTTTTAACGATTATTTTGCAAATAGATAAAGAGTTGAGTGACGTTGCTTCCTGTAACAAGTTGCAATAAAGAAGGATAAAATCAAAATAAAAGGACATTATCAGTAACTGGCTTCAGAAATGCTTCTTTCTGCATCATAATATAAAGCCTGGCGCAATAAAGAATATTGTTATATGACGCGATATATCCTTTGTTTTATAATCAATATGTAGCATAATGAATAATGTAATACGATTAAAAATTAACGCTAGAAATAACACAATTAAAACGTTCATAAAATATTAACGATAATACGGAATGAAACAAAACAAAATATAATATAGAATAAAGACAGTTGCTTAATAAAATAATATAAAATAATATAATATAATATGATTTCATGTGAAGATTTGCTTTCAAAGCTTTAGCATGATTTGAGGGCAAAGAACGAAGATTACCGAATTTCATGCTTTATCACTAAATATGTATTTATTTTCGGTGCCTGAAAGGGAGGCATGTTATCATTTGGTGCCAGCTTCCATGGGAAAAATCCCTGCTGCTGCCTGCGGACGATGAGAAAACTGCGAGCTTTTAAACTTGTTTATTTGACTATGTTTATTTCCTTCATGCAGTAACATATCGATATAAGACTTGGCACAGCAAAATTGTCTTTGTCCGATCAATTAGTAACACAATGACAATAGAAGTCACTATGACAATAGAGGTCTCAAGTTCATTCCTATTGAAGCTTACTGAATTGAGTTTTATACAGCAAAAAAGAGAGGTGAAAAAAACGTGATTTGAGTATTGTAGTTTAAAGAATATCGTTCGAAACAGAAGAACAGACAATTTCTGTCCTGAAAGTCCCGCAGCCTCCATAGAACATACGTAAAAATGAAACGTTCGTCCATGCCACTGACGGAGCGTTTTCAGACAAATATCTGTTGGTTACTTATGAAAATATTAGTTAAAACGTCATAGGTTCACAGATTATGCTTGGTGGTCCGTAGATACTTATAAAACACCAAGAAATAGTTACTGTCCATGAAAGACGTCCTTTTAGAGAAAATATTATGCGCGACAAAAGAGCAATAGGAACAAAGAAGGGCATTAGCGCCATCTTTAGTCTCAGCTTGCTAATGAGAAGTAGAGCAGTTGTGTTATGAAATATTGATGAAACATGAATATGCAAGTAACATGCATATGTAGTGTTTTTGATAATTCTTGACCGATTTGGTGCAGGATTTAGGAAGATGTAAACCATCCCGGATACAGCCGGATGAAAAATTCACTGAAATAAAGTTGATAAGATTCACAGCGCACGTAGAATTCTTTAAGGGTATAATATTTGATTTGTGAGATAAGCAAATGCTTCGTTGAAGTTTTAATGCAATTTCCAAAACATTTATTCACGAAGCAAACATGGTAGATTTTAAATATTTCAATTTTTGACAGTGGATAAATAAGCGTGCTCAAAAGAATAAAAAATGAATAAATGAAGCAAAATGGGAAGACGAACATAAATCTCCGACGCATTCATACAAGATGTATTCACACAACATCACAGTAGCAAAATACAGCAAAATCTATAGTTCATTATTCATAAATCGCTGGCTTGCCAAGAAAAAGAAATATCATTGAGAAGTCCGTTTACAATGATTTGAACTTACAATTTTTTACAAAAGTTATAAGAACCTAAACTGGTGAGCAGGCTGTTCAAAAGAAGAGTTTCAAAGTTAAGAACAGATCTTAGAGGAACCTTTTCAACAATGAGCTATTAAACGCACCAGAGCTCAAAGGTTAAAGGAATCTGACGCCCTTCACACACCCCTTTACCAAAAAGTTTGCCATTTTCCAATAACAGTTGCAAAGGTTATTTTAGCGATATTATCTGAAATAACGTGAATGGGTGACGAGTTGACAACTGGTGATGTTCAAACCTTTTCTTACTTGATGTTGATCGTGAAAGAAATTCTTGTCAGTTTGATATGGAATGCGTGGTCCAACTTACTGCCCGATTAAAATAATTTTGACTTAGCAGATGAGTGAAATTTTGTACTTGAGAAAGGTATTATGAAACAAATGTGTTTCTTGTAAAAAAAGAAAAAAACCACATAAAAAAGCTATATTCCCACTTGATAAAACTAAATATAGTCGTTGCTAATTAAAAAGATTTCTTTCTCTTTGCTCTATGCTTTGCACAGACATATGCTCTTTGTTATAACTTATGCTTTCACAAGGCCGAGAAACAGCTTTTTGCATTCATATATTTCTTCTTAATTACTTCTTTAAGAATCGTTAAAAAAACCTCTGTACTGGATTTTTCTTCAGATTTATGAACTACAGGTCTCAAAGCTTCTTAAGTAATTTTGAAGCTATTTGTTTACCATATACGTTTTTGGTACCCCAAAATTGGAAGATGGCATGAAAAAGCGGATAAATAGCATACTGAACTTTTCGTCTGACACTCTTCAGAGTATAAACGTGATTATCTGACGCCAAACAAAAGTTGATTCCATATGCTATGCTTCTGCTTTTTCATGCTATTTTCAAATGTTTGTTTATTATAACAATTTGGGATTGAATTATTACAGGAAAGAAAATTAAGAGGCAAAATTTGCTTTTATCCCTGGAAACGTAAAAATTTCAAAAAATTATTAGCATCCAAGATCCAGTACTTAGAATTTGTTAACAGCGTACTCATCACAATAATTTTGTCTTTGGAAAATATTTGTTTAAAAAACCATCTGAATAATTTTTTAGCGGTACAACATTTGAAAACGGCTTTGAAGGAAGCTAAAATTTTACAGCATCCTGAGTGTTTGGTCTGACACATTTCAGAGTTTAAAAGGCAGAATCAGGTACCGAAAAAACAAAATGGAAAATAAATACCCAATTGTTGATCGAAAACCATGAATTGCACCGTAACAGTTTCTCATGACGATGCAAACACAAGCAGTAAATTATAAATCACAAAAAGCCATCTCATTCATACAAACTTTAGTAGGGGAAACAAGTGATTAAAACCTGCGACGCAATGAGTTTTCTTTCTACCTGTTGCTATAGAGATTCAACAGTCAAACACTAGAACAAGATAATTAGTTGCTGTTTAGCTAGAAAACTAATCTATCAGACGAAAACTAACAAAGTTGCGATTTAACTCCAATCGAAAGAAAATTGGAAAGGCGACTGGCAAATCCACGTTTGTTGGCTTAATTGAGCCAGAGCTGACATTGAGTGATTTCAAAATAGCTTTGTGAATTATTGATAAGACCATTGATTGCTCAAAAAGGTTTCAGTTTCCACAATGATATCTTAAATGCATTTAGTCCATTAAACTAAAGACGGATCGATGAGCCATGGACTTATCTCCGTGAGACTCGTGCCATACACGGTACCGAAAGAGCCAGACAAACGATAATAGACTGGTGGTGTATGCACTAAAATCAGCTCTCACGATTAAGCTTGGTTTCCATCTTTTGTAATTCATCAACGATGGTCGTTGATAAAGTATTACTATTATATGTAACAGTTATAAGTATCTGTAGTTATTTTATTTGCATGTATGTATGAAATGAAGGAAAAACCAATTCCTTATTTGAAAACGGAGCATCTTTCAACCGTTTTCAATTTACATGCCCAAAACATGATTTTTCTGGTCAGCGCATTGGATTATTTCATTTCCATATAAAAATCAGATCGTTGATATATTATCAAATTGCTAATTGTTAAAGTTAAAAAGTTTCGAACATAAATATTGATGAAATGAAAAGATCAATAATTGTGGGCCAGATCTATGCTGATTAAAGAAACTTAATATGTTAACTTTGCCAACGTCCCAGACGAATAATAGCAATGGAGCAATAGACAAAACCTTTCATTATCTAAAAACGAAAACGATATCAGAACTTTTTCGAAAACTAAATCATTTTTTCAGTAAATTGAAGTTGACTGTTTCTATGCAAGGCTAAAGAACTTTTGAAATGATAGCTGCACATTGGCCAAGTCAGTAACGGAACAAGGATTGATGTTCGGAGCTTTATTCAAAAACCAAAACGGTGCATTATATACATTCTTTTGGTAGAAGTAACCTAGGATTTTTGCTCAAGTTTGTTTTCTTCTTGCTTCTTCAAGGTCCATAATGCCACTTGATGTTGTTAATACCATAAATCAAAACTGTCAACAAGGCATAAGGGAACTTGCCCACTTCTCAATGTCGTTTAATTTGACATCAAATCTTGGATTGATTACACCATATTTGTTGATTCTTTCATTCAGATTTACAACAATTTTTCGCCACGATGATCATCGAAAACCTCAAATTCACCAATGTATCCATGTTTCATTATTACAGTGAGGAACTTGATGATGACCTTTGAAGAGGGCCTAATCAAGCCCTATCGTTTCCCACGTTTCTCAGCATTGCAAATTGATTTCAGGCAATCATTGAGTACGTTAACGCGCACTATAGTGCCAAATGGGTCCGAAAAAGAGACTTCTTAGTTTATACGAATGGTTGCTTGCAGGCTGCTTTCTAATGCAAAAACCATTAACACCTTATAAGATATGACGTCATAGTTCCAGTCATGTGAAGTGAATTCTTTTTAGAAATGAAGGAAAATAATTCAATGGCATTACTCACCTAGAATATTTTGAATGATATCGAGGAATGTCTCGTTTTCAATAACGTCAGCTGCAACTTCCGAGTCAATGGACATATTTGCAATCACTCTCACAGTCTGCGATGAACGATAAGAAAGTTAAGAATTCAAAAATGAACTGAAAAGCAGCTAAGTTCTATAATTTTTCAATGATATCATATTATAAGATTTAGAATCAACATCGAAAGTTGAAGCAACATTTGCTATGAAAAAATAGATATCAAATCAAAATAATGGAAAATGATTATCAAAACCAGGAGAAACTTGATACAAAAAACAGAAGTTAGATTAAGATTAGAGAAAAACTCCCGATAACTCATGCATTCACGTCCACGGAACCAATGAAATGGTCCAAGATAGCGAATGTTCGAGTAATCGAGGGGATTTTCAAATAAAAGTATCGGGGATGGGGAATCTGCATCAGTTCGACTTAGCAAATGGTCCAGTTATCGGGACCATTTGCAGGAGGGTTCCGAGTTATCGGGATTTAACTGTAAAGCAAAATCCTAACCATGATCAGCAAAAAACACTAGGCATTGAATGATTATCATTGCCTTTCGAATTTACAAAAACCCGGAGCCAATCACAAGTATCGTGTTTAGCAACAACACTTCTCTTTCAAACAAGATTGACGTTTTACAATGTTTAATATCACTTAATCAGACAATTTTTGAGTGAATCTTAAAATGTTTTATCATGTCTGCATTTTCGGGATGGAAGACAAAATGAAAACCAAATTCAATTAAAATTTTTCCACACAAATTTTAATAAAATTCAAACAAAAACCAGATTTTACCTTCACAAGAATCTCGATTGACTTTTCACTATCCGTTTCAGCATCATTGTCACTTTTTGAGCCCCCATCTTTCCTATTGCAGTCCTAAAAGGTAAGGAAAACAATTTTGGTGTGAAAAATATGTTTAATTTGAGTGAGGAAGAAATCATGGTTTGACGACATCTAATAAAAAATATCTTACAAGCACGTTTAGGCACCTCTTAATTTCTTTTTTATCGACCAAATCTCCGATACACACGCCCCTCTTCGACAATTCTATTATTTTCTCATCGCTCCGCATTTGAGTCTTCAAATTTAAGATTAACCTTCTGTGCTCTAAAATTCCGCCTAATTTTTAAATGAGTTATGACATTTTACTCTCTATCAAACAAGAACTAAGTGCTTAGTTTGAAGATTAATCTTGCCAAAAATACATTTAACATTGACGCGCGACATCGTTAACCTGTGATGCTGCTTTCATTTCAAAATTTTAAAAAAGTTTAAAAGATCGCAAGGTAATATTCAATGTATGTTTTTGTGGTTAATTTTCTTTGTACAACATTTTTTTAATGACTTGCATGGAAAGTGCATCACATGAAACCTGCGTTATACTCTATAAAGCATAAAATCACAATAGCTTTTTGGCTGTTTGATATCTAAAGACTGATCTTTTAGTGTTTGGGAAGCACATGTAGAATGTACCTTATATTGCCGTTTATTCAATTTATTATTTGAAGGATATTCGGTAAATACCTTTTTAGAAACAAACCACCTTGATTTTAGTTGTTAAATTTAAAATTATCTTGTTTTTACCAAAAAAATTTTGTGAGTTTATAACCGTTTCCACTGCCAGTTTAAGCCAAAAATGCACTAACAGAGCTACTTTTCTTTGAACCAAGACATTGAAATGTTGCAAAGTTTCCTCGCTTTTGTCTGTTATCATTTTTTGTTACAATAAGAAAACTTTGCGCTACAAGCCTTACGCAAATCAACTGATATCAAAAGAGCGGAGAACAACAGCAGAGTCAGGTGACCTTGACACAGTTCAAATGAGCCAATAAAACATAGTAATTTTTTACAAACTCGTTCTTTACACACATATTTTTTCCAATAAAGATAAATACAATGTGTTTACTCTCAGTTGGGAAAAATACTTGCATGGAGATGCCACCGATCGATTATAAAACATGCACGACATATGGTGATATTTTAGAAAATCTTAAACTTTCTTGCAAAGCAGACCTATCATTGAGTGCAGGGCCATTAAGCCACAATATTTATTTACCGCTGCAAGTCTTGCTGAATTCGATCCTTATGAGGGTACCTAAAATTTTATCATTTTTTTTCGTTATTTACCGATAACTATTGAAAGTTCAACCGTTTGTGAACATTTGATACAATTTTGGGTAATGACGCAAAAACGTTTTCATGCAAAACGGTTAGGGCGGTATGTTCGGCCGTTGATATCGCAAGAGCCCATGTTGTTTTTGACCATGACAAATTTTTTGTGCTTCTTGCTTTTCAATTTTTTAATCATTAGGCTTAAATCATTCCGAAACAGAGGTTGTATCAAGAAAACAGATGAATAGCACGCCTTCCCCTTCCAAAAAATTAGTTTCATAGGCCAAATATAGTGCTTAAAGAGGAAAACAGATACAAATGTAACTAAGAAGGATAAACAATCATAAAGAGAAGACAGGCCAACCTGACGAAGCGCGGTAACGTATTTACTCAACAGCTGCACCAAAACGTCCAAGCAATTGTACTTGAAATGTAGATCTGTACGGGCGTCGGTATCCTTCGCAGCGACATTGCCCAACACGAAAACCAGTCGAACGACCACATCCTGTAAAATTTTGTGAGTACTTTGACATTAGTACTTTGGGGCACGGCTTATACAAAAACCTGACAAGCATTATTAAAATTTATAACTTTAGGGACCACTAGATGTACTTCACCGGGGAAGGTTACAATATTTTAAGTATGCCAAGAGATACAGGCAAAATAATTCAGTGAACGGTGAAAAATATGCTTTGGGAATTGTTCGAAGGCTGATCAAAGAAGCCACTTTTGTGTTCCCTAGATAAATTGTCGAACATATAGGGTTTTGAAAAATCTATTTTATTCATAGAACGTAAGAAAACAAGCAAGAAGCAAAGTTGTCCAGAGTTCTTTCCTTTATAACCCTATTGAACTGCGTCAAGCAAATTTTCATACAGATGCCTACCAAACTTTTGCATTTCAATATACATTAACATGTTTAACATAAAATACCATAGGTTAGCTCTGGCCCTCTTTCTTTTCATCAAATTTTGCGCCTAAATTTTTAATATTATAAACCAGCAAAAAGCAGTGAAAATAAGTTCATGCTTTTCATATGATTATTTGATAAACAAACTGAACAAAACCGACAAGATAAAAAAATTTTGGGGCTGAAATCTTTTCTGCCTGTCTCATCCTGTTCTAGAAATTGGCTTTGCACCAAAAATTGCAAAAAAATAATGAGACGTTTTTTGCCAACTTCCTCATCCCCCCCCCTTCCCAAAACGTTATAAAAGAGCGACTTCATCTACAAAAAAAATGATGGAAAACTTTCAGGACCCATTTCTTGCCAGTAAGGAGTACATAAACAATATCTTGCCTGTTCATTGATGAAATGTGATATTGCCTTCAAAAATAGCTGGAGACTGTCTGGACTCTCGCATACTAGATGGCAACAGTCACTGTACTGAGTGAGTTTACTGAAATTAAAACATAACATTGATAAGTAAACAGTTACGGGTAAGGTGGAACTTGTGAGATTTGAAAAATTGCGGTTTGAAATTTAACCAGTTCACACTAGAAGTTTTAGTGAAGTTTTAAAAAGATACTTGAAAAGTACAGAATAACATCCTGGCAATTCAGCATTTTCGTTAAATAATAAGGGTTGTTATTCTGGTTGAAGAAGAGCTAAGTATGAAAAGCAAGGATGTCAAAAAAAAATTTAAAAACAAATTACCAGTTTGAGATTTCATGGCAATAAGCACATCAGACTTTTGGCCATGGGGCAAATAAATATGCTTCACCGAGAAAAAGGTATAATTTTGAGGATTTTAAAATGGCTTCATTTTGTAGCTGGTATCAGCATAAAAATCTAGGACTGGGTTTGCTTAGGGTTGCAGACAATTTTCAACTTTTCAATAATTTTCAAATCTAAGGAACTAGAAAAGGTTGGATAGCAATGCAATTAAAAGAAGCAAATTTACATTAAAAATTAGGATTCAGAACGATTATAAACAGGCGCTGGACTTTAAATGACCGGTGGTTAATCAAAATAGGAAAACAGCATGCAATCAAACAACACGGTATAATATTCCGGATCTACCTTAGTATCCTTGAAACATTTAGCATGTAGTCTGGGTCTTTCCAGTATGTTTGTAGAAGGTCCAACAACACTCGAATGAGACCGCTGTTGAGAAACGAGGCGCGAATGTTTGGTATATCTGCAATATTTCGGATAGCAGCGCTGGCCTAAAAACAAAAGAGAAACCATTGGCATACAATTGAGAAAGGATATTTGTATCAAAGCAGGGAAAAATTTTTGAAGTTAACTTGACTTTGTGGAAGACAAGAGACATTTCAAAAGATTAGGGGAGAAAAACGTTAGAAAACATTTGCAAGCGATCATATGTTCTTTCTGACTTGCATTTGATTTGAATTTATGACAACAAAAGTACTTCCGTTCATTTTGAAAAGACATTGTTATGTTTTGTGCCATCCAATTCAATGAAATAAAATCAAGACACATGATTGCGTAAAAGCAAGGGATTTTAAACGCTAAGAAACCACCGGTCATGTCTAAAACTCATTTACAAAAACAAATCCAGTAGTTAGATTACTCCGAACATCATCTGGATAAAACATATCCCCTCCCCCCAACCCCCCCNNCCCCACCCCCCTCGTACAAACTTTTACCAAAAAATTTCTGCTTCGCCTTCTCCTATTCTCATCTCTAATTTAGTCGTATAAATAAAAACATAAATATTTTGAGATATATTTTACGTTGCTGGTGTAGATAGAAAGTGTTCGTTTTCACCTTACGACTCCATTGGTAACTTTTAATAGGCGAGCGACAAAGAAAGATTTGGCAAACTTAACAGTCACGTGCTCGCGCTTCTGATTGGTCTATGCCGATTGACAACAAGTATATTAATTTTTTAGGTTAGAATCTTCGATCATTTTGCCGACGTTTTATACTCTTAAATATGTAAGATGAAAAGCTTAAGTATATCTTCAAATGTCTGCTTTATTCAAAGAGATTTCCATCCCTGCCCTTGATGTTTTGCATATTAATTTGGCTTGCAACAGCAGCTTAATCAATATTGAAAATACAGACATGCAGATAGCAAACTATGAAATATGAGAAACACAACTGAATTCTGCAAAAAGCAGCCTAGAAGCTTTAAAGGAGCATCCTAAATTATTTTGTCAATCTCAGCTATAAAAATTAAAAGTACTAGTAGAAAGAAACGCTAAAAATATCGTATGCCACATAATTTCAAGAATTCGTGAAAGCAGCAAACTGACGAGGAATGATAACAATTCAATTCAATTTTTGTTCACAGAAATACATCGCTATAAAAGGTTTCTGCAAAAAAGTTTTCTAGTCTTTCCAAGCCCAGGAGAAGCAAAGCTAATTAGCCGTTAAATTGGCCGTTAAAGCGAGAACTGTAAACATGAAACTTGCATTTTTGATAACTTAAAAATATAGTTGCCATCCAACTCAACAAATAAAGGATAAAAATTCAAAACTTATATTTGATACACAAATTGAGCTTGTATCGAAAAAGTCTGCCTGTAACCGTTAACTAAGCTGGTTTTATATTTATGTTTTATTAGTTTCTCTTTTAACTAAAATTGATAGGAAGCTTTTCTCAATAAGCAGGCTTCCACAAAAAGCAACATTCTACTATCCCTCATTAAAAATGTGTTTTACAGGTTTGGTAAAAGAAAAAGAGAATTACGGGTACACTCTTTTTTATAAGAACCAGTAAATATAAGTTCAGGCTGTCTGTTCTTAATTTTTCGAAAATCTGAGGCTGGATTGTTCCTAATTTGTTCTTAAATGAAGAGGGTGTAAGCAGTGCTATTGCTAGCTTTTCCGCTCTAAGGAGGTGTTCAGGCCTCATTTGCCAACAAAGTGAGTCTTAGTAAGACAAAGTAAGACATCCTTAATTTGCTGACAAATTTGAATATTTACCGAAAAAGCACTCACACACCGCTAAAAATCCTCGATTTTGAGAAAAACGTTGTTCAAAATTGCATTTTGCAGAAGCTCAGCCTCAGCTTGTTCTTAATTTGTTCTTAACTTTTGACCAGTTTTGAAGCTCGTGTTCTTATAAAATTGTTCTTATAAAAAAAGAGTGTATAGCAAGAATTCATATTATATTTCATTTGAATGTATTCGCTTTGTCAGACATTCTTTGTTTACTCTTTCTTATTGTATTGATCCTGGTTGACTTGCATTTCTTCTGCTTGCAAAAGTTAAGCAGTCCAAATATACTATGTATATTAATTAAGACGAATATTGATTTGATTGAAAACTTAATATTCAATGTAAAATATTCAAAGGTCATCTTTTCAAAATGGCATGTGACATACCAAAAAAGGTAGGCCAAGTAGTTATAGACTTGACAGTTTTACGCTCAAATTCCTTGAAATCTTTCGCAAAAGCATGACGAATAAAGAAAATGAGCGGATCTTCATAGTCTGATGAAGGCCAATCTGGACGGGAAGACAGTGACCGGAAAACTAGTCAAAGAACAAGCTTCGCCCACGTGGTTCAATAGGAAGCGGCATGAAAAATTCAATTAGAATGGGGTTTAACTATTCAAGTGTAAGATGGAACTACTGTGCAGTATTTGAATGGAAAGCAACAAACAAACCTGAACGAGAATATGTGACAAGTGAAGGGCTTGGGACTCAGTCGAAGTCTAGACGAAAGAAAGAGTGCGTATTCATAAATCAAATATGTTATTCAAAAATCAAGGATATTATTTTTTATCAGCTTTGAAGCTATAGCTAAAAATTTTACGATCGAAGCTCACCTTTAACAAAAGGGAAGCTTGAGAAGCAAGTTAGAACTGACACAAAAATCATGTTAATTTTTCTGAACAAAGAAATGCTTCAGAAGCACCTTCGCTTTAATATTGTGTATTTGTTGCATTGCAAAGACCTTCTATTAAACAAAAGATTAGCAAATGAAGTGCGAAGGGAACCCTGGACAAACTATCCAGACAGCATTTTACGGTTTGCCTACCTTGCATAAAATAAGACATTGCATTGGTGATAATAGCACTAAGTGCTACTTTTGAAACGCTTAAAGGTCTTGCAACGAGCTTATACAAAAATGATCACTATTTCATAACAAAGGCTGACTTTGTTGCCAAAGTTGATTTTCAATGAAAGGCCGGCCACAGTAAAGAGAATTAAACCTAATAAATAAGGCTACAAAAAATGATTGGCCACTATGAATAATGATTGCGAACCAAAAAATACATTTTCAGATAGGTCATGTAGGTAGAGAGCTAAATGCTTCTCGTTTATATGAAGAACAACAACCTGATTCACGAACAACATTTACGCACAATCAACTTAGACAGCTTTTGAAACTGCTCGGATTCCATTTCATAGTTACTATTCCATAGAAAACAATTTTTTACTCTGGAAATTTCTCCTAAATGATATTTATAAGGAATTCCCTTTTGAAGAATCTCCAAGATTTTTAACATCTTATAATCAAAAGTTCTATAAACATATTTCTAAGCATTTGCTGCCTAGAATCAGGGTGATATCTTGCCACTTTCATAAACTCTTTACGCTCTGTCATCCAAGCCAAAAAATATAACCAATTAGTATAATTAACAATTTCAACTAACGCAATTTTGCAATTATGTAACTAATGGATCTTTATAGTGACATTATGCTGTATTAATACAAAATTGTAACTGGGCCTCTTAACGCCTACAGAACAAAATGGCGTACATAGTTCACATTAGTCTAGTTAAATATTCTTTTTGTTTACAAATTGCGACTTCCGCGCATAAGTTTCCCTCAAGATAAGACGTCACAAGCCTCCAACAGACATGTATTAAAGACAGCGACACACAGGGTGAAAAAACTGTGGTGACATCAATATAACTAAATGAACACATAGCGAATATTAAACGAACACGCAGGGAGTATTGAAAGAACAGATAGGAAAGATTTGGACAACTCACACTGTTTTGAAAAGTTAACAAGTGCAAAAATAAAACTCGAGGAACAGAGAAATCGAAATACTAAATAAATACCCAGTTGAGATTGAAAGATATAGGGGCAAAACACTATATGAAAATATCGTACACCTTGGTTTGACACCCTACAGCTAATTCCAAAAATTCGTAGAAATCCTTTCACTTTGGTGGCAATCTCGTACGCTGTTAGCAAAAGTGAATTGCCCCCCGAAAAGATGATAAGAAATAAACAACCTTAAATAGGCCATTAGCAGATAGTAACAGCTTTTAAATTGGGCACTCTTGGGATACCTTGCTGCATAAGATGCATCCATTAAAAAACTTTCGAAATTTTCTACAAAGGTTTAGTACTTTATATTCAGTCTCTTGATGAAGAAGTGTTGAAGCAATGTGTGGCAAAAGGCAATAGAACCACAAGAAATAAACTTTCAGCGCATTAGAAATTTAAAAATTTTGGCTCAGTTTGTGAATTGTAGATGTTGTTAAAGTAACAGATCTTTCATTACGTGATTCATTTTTCTTCACAAGTAAGATATTCTCATAATTGCATTTAACACTCACCAACTGTTTGATTTTGTTTAACAAATCAACAAAGCACTGAACACAATCTGCTTCCAATAGCTCTTCGTGCAAAATACTATTTGCTGCAAGAAACTTCAATGACCCACTGGCATATATAATTCCATCACAGAGCAGATTAATGTCAGCATTTCGTATAATCTCAGTCATGTGCCCTTAAATAAGAACAGAAATGTCAAATGTGTGAAAAGCTGATTTCAACTGTCAGAAGACAAGACCTAACTGCCGTTGAAATGAGACCATAGAATTCATAACAGATTTAAATAGTATAGGTACATCCCTGCAAAATGAGCCAGTGAAGTTGAAGACCTACTCTGGCTGCAGTGTCGGTACTTGGGGGGGGCGAGGGGGCGACCGCCCTAATACTTTAGAGGACAATGGTCTATTGTTCTAAAACAATGGGAAATGTGACGTCATCTTATTAAAACAATAGGCTTGCTCCCCCAATATTTGACTAATAAGTGTCCGCCCCTGTCTGGCTGCTTTTTTTATCAACAATTTAGGATTACGAACCTATTTTAGCCGAACAAGTGCCTTTTATTTTCTCAAGATATTGATTCAAAACTTTCCTTGATCCCAGAAAAGTCACCCCTTTTACCAGGAATAGCGCGCTTGCTCATGATCAAAATACACCTCTAAGGATCATCTAATGTAAAAATCTTTGACCCTGCCATTCCCTTATGTACCTTTAAAACAAGGCCCATAAGCAGCCTGACTCTTAAAAAACAGATCCTTCTTCTTTGCCATGTTCACTTTATAAAAATATAAATTTAAAGAGCTTAAAATGCTTTAGAAGTGCAAAAAAAAGCGGACAGCGCAAAGTGCAAAAAGTGCAAAAGATTAGAAGTGCAAAAAATAAGCAGGCTGATTGCACCAAAATTTCAATCAATTCTATGACTCATATCGAAAAACAATCAAACAACAATCAGACTCACGGAGAAGGTCATGCTCTTTAAAAAGAGTGTCTTTTGTTTTGTCTTTACTTATCTTGAAAATCAACTTGCATATGTTTGTTAAGTTATTGCCAGTCACCTTCATCTAAAAACAGAAAAAAATTTCAAGTGAATCTGGTGTGTCTTTAACTCGGATCGTCAGCATGTCATAGCACTGCTCCGACCAACAAATTACCTAGATTATTTTAAAGGCCGGTTCAACAATAGCTATTATACGTCTGTTTACAAGAGCAAATTCATCCATTCCCCTACCCCGTTTGAACAAAGTTGGTTTACCAAAAAAGACGTAGAAGATATGAAGTGAGTTTTCTCCTGTGACTTTATGATATTTGTTTAAATGGGGAGGGAAGGGTGCGCAAGTAGAAGAAATTTAGGGACAAGAATTGAAAAAATAAAAACGGAAAGCAAATTGTTAAGTTTTCCAAGTACTCTTTTGGCAGGCATTGTAGAATGTTCGACACCAAAATGGAAGTTCGTGTAACAGAACGTTCTACCAACTGACGCTATACAGTATGCGAACTCGCTTAAGGACTTTGTCCTGCTAAATTTCTTAGGTCCAAGCATTTTTTCCTTCAAGCATGACCGTTTGATCATAAATACTTTCTGGCATATTCGAAATAAAACATTGAAAAATTGAATTTTCCAAGTAGAGCATGCTATGCAAAGAGCATGAAAATCATTTTTTCCTAAAAATAACAAATTTTAGGATAAAAAAAAGAAAAGAAATTTAGTTAGTCTACAGAATGACGGCTATTTCGTCTCCCATCATCTTATACAAACAAACAACTCAAATAAAAAGGACAATTTTGCTCATTAACAACGCATAAATTGTCAAAGCTATGACAATATTCAAGGTGTCCTGAATCTGCAATTAACAATATGTTATTTTCGACATAAACATTCATTCATGCTTTGGTGTGCGCAGAACAGGACAGTTACCTCGAAAATCGCATGGAAAGTAGCCTGCGTGCAGACTCTACGGAGGAGAAGAAATCCAGAGATTGAGGAAAGTAGTCTACTTTCCTCATCCTCTGGATTTCTTCTCCTCCGTAGAGTCTGCATGCAGGCTAATGGAAAGTGACACACTGACTTTTATTTTGAACTGTCTGTTCTACGCATCAAAGCGTGAATAGATCTGCATATTGGACATGGAAAGCTTTAAAACAGATGGATTGGTAGAACACTTCATTAAATATTCATTCAATCAGGTGAATGCAAAAGCAACTTCCGCAATTTGCCTGCATTGCCCAGGATTCAGACATTTTTGGCCTAAAAACAGGTATTACTAAAACGAAGCTACTCTAGTTCAACCTAAATCTACCTTGTTTGCATCTTATGAGATACAACCTTCGCCAATATTACCTTTTGACATCTTCTCAAACTCAAAACTGAGTATAGCCGAGACACATTTTCAGATTTCACTAGCACCGATACACTTGATATACCCTGATTTACTCGGGAATCCCCGCTCAGGGATCCCGTCATATACTTGGCAGTCTAAGATAATTGAGCATTCGCTAAAATTCTTTCGAGTTAAAAAGGCTGAACACCTTACAGATATCCAGGACTCAATCATGTGTCTGTACAAATGAAAGTTCACTGATTCCTGCTATTATCAAAACGATGGTGTACGGCCTACGTTAAGCAAGTCCGCTACCAGTGAAACTGCTACTTTCGTGAGATATGTCGATCATTACGATTGGGACCAGCAAATTCCTGTGGCAAAGCAGAGCCAACGTAATGATAAACAATTGCAAAGCAAGACTTAATAAAGAGTATCATTCTTGCAGCAGAGCATGGCTGCAAGATTAGCATGGAGAGCTGTTATCACCTGGTCAAAAAAGATTTTTTAGCATCAAAGTAAAGCGCAGTCTGAAATGGCTTTCAATCTTAATTTTTTAAAAGTAGCTTTGTAGCCGTAATGAACGTTGCAAGCTGCAGTCAGGGACAGAGAAATTCCCAGCCTCCTTTTGAAGTAGCTGGCCGTCAAAACATCCAAGCAGCATTGGACACTATTTACAATACGTTAGTCGAGGAAGATTTGCAACTCATGTAATTGTGCACCTGAATCACAGCACAGGTAGATGTTTCTTGGTAAAGATAAGGGCATTTTTCTTAATAAGTCATTTCAGCTTAATGGGTGATAAAGTCAAACTTACCATTAACGCCAATTTGCACAACTTCAGAATGACCTCAGCACTGTCAGCCTCGACAAATTTAAATATGGTCCGCAAAACAGCTGTCCGCCGCCTAGCTGCACCACTGCCAGACACTTTGCTCAACATGCCACACAACTGAAGACTTTTCCACAATACATCAAAATTAATGCTCAGGGCTTCCATATCTGTATGCAGATAGTTTAGCTCCATTTGCTTCAGAAGTGGTTCCACATTCTCCTTAAAAAATACTGCTTGGTTATCAGTATCTGCTTCTGACGATGACGACAAAGGACGAGCACTATTATTGTCCTTGATGTTTCGCTCTTCTTTATCATTATATATAGAGTTTTGAACATTTAACACCGAGTCTATGGATGCACGTTTAATAGATTGGTTTCCAGGGGTGATGTCATTTGACGACAAAGATCGAGTTCCAGAAACTTCACTGTGTAGCCGATCAGATTGGCCAGTTGCATCAGAAACAACACCCGAATCAGCTGATTTGACATCTCTTGCAAAAGAATCAAAAGAATTTGACTTTCTAAGTTCTTGTGATGTTTCTAGGCTGCGTTGGTTTGAATGCTCTTTCGGTCCACTTTGCACACGTCTGCCAACAAATCGTTGTCTTGACGATGGACGGCCTGTTTTCGTCACAGATGGCTCCATACTTTTTGGAGGAGGAGGAAATTGTTGATTTTCCCCAACCACAGCTGTGTCATGGTTTTCGAAACCAGTTCTGTCAAAGCATTCAGTTCCATTTGAAGACCGACGTTTTGAATATTTTGGTTTCTCTTGGTGATCTGAAGAAATCTCCGACGATTGGCCTGCCGTCACAGATCCTTCTAGCTGCAAGCATGATGAGAAAATAATCAATAAATATTACCAATGAATGTGGAATTAAAAGCATAAACTCCTTCTTCTTGCAAAACCTCTCGATGAGAGTTCAGACAAGTTATGGTATAATCTTCAACTTTGAGGAGCTGTAAAAACAAAGCAATGAAAAACATATATATGAAGCAATAATAAAAATTTTACAGTAAACACATTTAGTTCAAGAGACTGGATTCTCAATTACACAAAAAAAATCCTCCATATAACATAGAGGATAGTCGTGACATTTGCCAAAACCTCTTACTATAGACTTTAAAAGCAAAATTTCCCATCAGCATATTGTTCATGTCAACGAAAAGTTATACATTTAATTCAGAATTAAGTATAATTGAGATTTAGAAAAGTACATCGGGACAAAGTGCAACTAAAAAGCCAAATAATCATTGAGGTATCCTCCTTTCATAAATATTTTCACATAAATCTAGAATTGAAATAAGTTATACTGACGTAATTTTGAGAAGAATCTGGATAGGCACCAACATCTGGAATTTTTTTCAAAGGAGAAAGCTTTCCTGTTGGAGGTCGTGATCCACTTCTTGATCCTGTTTCTGAAAACGCTTTTGCACCAATGCTGAAAAAGAAATTGAAACAATTTTTAATTTTTCGAAAGACATGATTCAGTGAACTGAGTACCACTGAAAACTCAATTTATTCTCAAACTTAATGCCTGATTTCTAATGACTGCATTAAGCCTGAATCAGGTAGCAGAAAATTAGAACTGTCCTCTTATGTGCACCAAAACCTTACAACTTTGTCCATGCAGCATCAAGCACTTTGTGTTAGAACATTAAACAAAAACTTTCATCAATTGGATAAAGAAACATTTTAACAGTAGAAATACTTTATTTTCAAGTTGGATTTGAAATCATCATATGTGGACTGAGCACCTTGAAAATGATAAGGTAATTTTCAAGAGAACTGATTGTAGTGTTCAAGAGATGAATATTCTAAACAGTTATTTAATCCAAGAAAGCCATCACTAGTAGCCAAACTTTGGAAAGTTTTGCCAATTTTAAAATAACAAAAGCTTTGGGGTGGTTATGAAGTTATGGTTGGAAAATGCTAATTGTATTTTAAAACTAGCAAAATGTTCTTCATCTGAATTAGTTTTCTTTGGCTCTCTTTGAGCTAAAACATTTGTGGATTAAATTCCTAGGATAAGATTTCTTGGAATAGGATGGCTCTTTCCTACTTTTACATATTGCAAGACAGGGCCTACGCCATGAATTTGAAAGTAGTGGGCCAATGCTTTTCCCCTTTTACTGCAGCTTTAAAACTACTTGCTTTGCAAAAAAGTGGGGGCCATGGCCCCTCTCCCCCCCCCCCCCCCTGGTGGCATGAGCCCTGCAAGACCTCTTTGTTTATGTGATATTCTCACACTTTCTTTTTTGTTCCTGTATTGTTATTTATATATGTAGTATGGGTTTTATGCTTCATTGCAAAAAACTCCTCTTTATCATGATATTCTTGTAGATTAGATATCTATTAAATGTATGATTGACTAGATTTTATCTGGAATGATGTGGAATTTACTAGTGTGAACATAAGTTGAACTGAAAAATAATATAAAGAGTTGTTTTACTGCGAGTCGAGATAGTCTTGTCTTACTGGAAGCAAGAAAGCCAGCTAATGAGAACATGGCAAAACCAGTTTATGGTTGTGATACCTGAATGCAGAAGGAGGCCTTCCTTCAGCTGGCCTTGACTGGTTTCCAAACAATCTTCTACTTGTATCTAGTGGTGTGAATGGTCTGCTTGTTTCCAGTGGTTTCATGGAATTTCTAGCCTCTGACACAATCTCTGCACTGGTTTTCTTCCCAGCATCATAAAATGGCCTCCTGTACTGAGGTTTTCTGGATTTTGGAGGTGTCGGCTGCATGTCTGTTTAAAACAATCATCAGATAAAAATTCTTGATGTATTTCTAACAAGATGCTCTGGCACTTCTGCAAAGTAGCAGATAAAAGCATGATAGATAGACTACAAGAGAAAACCCTAAGAGATGATTCAAGCATAGCCGATTGTCAAGTGAATTCAAGCATCAAGAATATTTATGGAACTGTTCTGGTTGAAGAATGTTTAAAGTCGAGGTTTATGAAGAGTCTTTTGGAAAATAGCCAGGGAAAAATTCAAAATATACATAGAAAGGCTGACAAGCTAAAAGGCAGAACTGAGTATTGTCCCAAAAATGTACTTTATAGCAATTGGGATTGCCTATACTTCTAATACCATAACTTAGTGTCTTCATAGCAGTTTAGCTTTTCAAAAATTAGTCTTATACCCTGCAGGCTTCAAAATTTTTTGGAAAAAATCTGCTGAGTTTGTAAGAAAATAGATAGCGTTAATAATTTAAATGACATGAATTTAAATGGTAGAGCTTGCAGCAGAAACAAGTCCTAAAGGCATTTCAATTGTGGCTTCTGAGCAGCTTAACAACTTTAATGCAACTAAATCACCAAAACTGCAATCACAATATCTACTTCTCACTCTTATACTGACTGCTTATATCAATTAGACCTACTGGTAAGTTTCTTTTTGAACCAGTAATTGAACCAATCACAATTAAGTGGTTACTTGACATTCATTAATGTAGGGGAGAAAAGGAACAAATGATTCCAGTGTACTTCACTTACAAATGGATAAAACAATATTGTTTTCTTGGAATACCCAAAATTTAACTGAAAATTCCTTAATGTACACTGGCCAGACCATGATTCACGAGCTACAAATATCTTGAATCAGTTTTGGTTTCAATGATTTATCAATTAATCTTAAATAAAATTACCCGTGATTACAAGGCAGGTATAAATTAATTACATTTCAAGAACTTGATAGTCAATAGCTAAACAGACAACCAATGAAAAAGAGAACATTACAAGATTGTATTTAAGAATGCCATGAAGACACACAAACATTCACGTTCCATTTCACAATTGCACTTGTGCACAAACAAAGATAAATACAGCATTTTGACAAATATTCAAATAAAGATAAATATTAAAGATAAATAAAACATTTTGCACAGTTTTGTAAGCATTTTGAAATGTATTGCGAGCTATCAAATTTTGTTTTGAGCAAGCTAATTGCGTTGGCGTTGTCGAGTTTTAAACAAGCATCAAATGAGCACAGAAAACAGTTGCTTTAAGTTAGTTGTGCTAATAATCGTGACGCCATTTCAAGATAGTTATCGTTACTGATGAGGCAAATCTTTTCAATTCAAGTGAAGCTTAAATTTTATCGATAAGGAAATGAATTTAAAACGTACTTCTTCTCTAAGTTTGGTTTCGATGCTGCCTATCAGCTGTCGGCCATATTGTTGTTAATGCTAAAATTTCATGACTGCTTACATGAACTTCAATTGTTATTCAATTCAATCATGCATATTTTAACATGGAAGCCGATAAATTATGCATAACCGATTTCAATAAAATTATTCACAAGCAACATCTAATTTAATCTGATGGAATTTTTTTCAAAGAAACTATAAGACTGCCGAATTTCTTATCGATTTTTTTAAATACGTTTCCTGTTTCTGTGACATTAGCAAGGTCTCAATCAGATTAACTGGAATGAATCTTATGTTTGAAACTAAAATTTGAAAAATATCACACATTTTAACAAAGCTAATTAAGCCTATGATCCTGTAAAATTTGTTTTTTGGAGTTCAAACGCTATACGACAGTACAGTAGGTTGACTTATCGAGATTTGCAGCAAACCACTGATGATATGATACATAAATAATCAGAAACTCGCCAACCCAATTGATTAATTAAACCCATTCTACTTTTACTATCCTTATTAACAAATTGAACTCTTCATTTAGTGGACAACTTTCTCTGCATAGAAATTTTGAGACAAAGATATCCGTAACTTCTAGATAAGAGTTATTGGGAGGCGCCCATTAATGTAGGTGCCAATTTGTCCGAAAGCAACCTAGGACTTTCTAAACCACTAAATATGAATGGCTACCTTTGTGAAAAAATCTTTGTAGAGGTAAATAACTGAGTTCAAAATCAACACAATTTCGCCAAGGCTGTATCGCCGAATTTATCTGGCTAGATCGATTCCAAGAATTTTGTAGCTTCAGTCCCATAGAGGCAGCAGTAGACCTTACTGCAGTTCCGACCAAAAGGGTGAAACCTACATTGAGGTGGCTAAATTTACAGTTATAGAAATACAGTACATATCTAAGAGAGGTCTAATAGTTTACAAAATTTGTGTCCCAAAAAGCTGATTTGAAATTCGCTCACGACCTCTTCCACAAAAACCCAAAAGAATAACAGAAATTTACTCAGTGGCTCATCCAAAAAATGTGGAAATTTCTGACAGGATGAGGCTAGGGGGCACTTATTATCTTCTCACACAACACCCTTGATCGATTCAATTAATATATCCTTCCTTTGCACTTGTTTATCTACGGTGCAGGAGCAGAGGGGTAATCATCAGTAGCACAGGTCAGGGGTGTCACTTCATACTTTTTGTATTGATGGCTGCATATTTGCCCTGCAGAAAAATTTTGCCCTGGCAAAAGTTGAAAATGTGGGGAACTGGCCCTCGATTCCGGTAACACAAAAAAATTTGTAATTTGTACCCACTAGGCCCTTGCTTATTGTGTCAACTTGTTCACTGATGTCTTTGCCTAACTTTGGGGAGACGAGCAAGAGAAAGCTTTTTAATGAATGATGCAACCTTTCATCCGGGAGTCAAAGAGCATGCGCTAATTTTTGTCCAACACACTTTCGATTTTCACACTAGCATCCCGCTGATTTCGTTGCACTAGATGTATGATTACTATTTCTCAAGATGAGCGAATAAAAGTTTCTCTCGATGCAATCAAAAATCATTAAGGGGAAACTACCCCACTGCATATAAAATACAGCAAGTGGCGATGTTCATTCTCAAACATAATTATATTGCTTTGTAACTTTGAAAAATGTTTCATCTCATAAACGAGGAGTTTTTGCCATCCAGGGGAGGAAAATTTTATTAACCTCCCTTGAAGCAGAGCAATGGGGCCTTTTGCCCCAAATTATGCCAGCATATTCATGAAAACAAGAGAACAACATATCTTGAGCAACGCCCCGATGGGGCGTAGTCCAATATTTTGGTAAAGATTTATTCGATGACACATTTTTCAATTGGCAACACAAGCTTGAAAACCTACAGGAATTTATACAATACACTCTATATCATCCACAAAATATAAAACAGATACTAAAAACAATATGCAATCGACTCCACTTATAATCACACCGCTCAAAGTCACACCATTGGTTACAGCCAAATCAAATTTAGGCCCAAATTTGCAAAACTATTCAATAAAACTAAGACCCAAGTAGCTCTGTTTACAGTGTTGCACTCGGTTTACTGACACAAGTTTACTGTAGTATTTCTATTCTGACACACGCCGCTTTTATTTGGGCACACTACTTTAGGAACAAACTGGATTCCAGATCTCTCCCGGCACAAAGCTGTGTAGCAACGCTCGTTTTGGATTGCACCATTTTTCTTAGTTTTTTGGCAAGGGGTGCTTGTCTTTCTGTAGGGTTTTTAAAATAAGACGCCAACATTTGCCCTGCAAAAATCAGTTTTGCCCTGAGAAATGGTTCTATTTTCGTGGATGGAGGGGGGTGAGCCATCTCCCATACCCCCCTCAAGTGACGCCCCTGCCGGTTAGACATGGAAAGAAACACAACGAAATGCATCGAGCATGAGAATCAACAATTTTTGTCTTTTTAGAGTGCACATCAATCTGCTTCGGTCTATTCTGAAGAATCTTTGAAGGCGGGGAAGAAATCCGAAGATTCTGCAAGCATTTACATCTAATTTCTTATTAGGAGTTGGTTTCCAGTAAAATATATAAAGAATCCAAAATAATAAAATATATATCATTTTTGACATTACTCCTTAATTGATGGGCAATTTATGGATAATTTGTAGACCTTTAACGTTAATTTGTAGATATAAAAGTGTCCAGACTTAAGAAAGGAAAACTGTCTTCTTATAAAATGTTTGTTCATGCAATGGAAACTTGACAATAATTTGTTCATGCAATGGAAACTTTCGGGAGTTTATGCGTTTGCGATCTTTATATAAGTGTTCAATTCAAAGACATTGGAGGTACTACCATGTTGTTACAAAAAAAGAGGTTTGGAAGTTGCCTGCCTTAATCTCCAAAGTGCAAAAAAAAGAGGTTTGGAAGTTGCCTGCCTTAATCTCCAAAGTGCAAGGAAAAAGGGAAACGCTTTGGAGTTTCGCAAGACCAGCTCTAGTTTTGAAATGTCAAGGACGGAAGCAAGTCAATGGCGTGACTTGCTTAATAAGTGGAAAACTTTACGAGGAAACATATTTACAGTTTCAAAAGGCTGAGGGTTCTGAAAGATATAAGTTTTTCTAAACTAACGAACTACAAGCTTTCACATTATAACATAGAGTATGAAAATGGTTTTGAAACAAGCAAAAAATTTGTCCTCAAAAGTGCCTGGTTTACCTAAAAATATCATAGATCGGTAAAATTTCCTTGCGATTTGAAAGTCAGATCAAGCAGGCCATTACAAAAGGTTTTTTTGCTGTAAATCCGTGTATTCAAAATGATTGCTTTCCTACCCGTTATCTATGGGTTTACGTGCCGGTTTGATTCTGGCTACGTAGGACGCACAACCCAAAGACTGGGGGATAGAATAAAACAGCACGTACTTTCTAGCATTAGAAACAAAACTCTACCCCAAAGAAGACAACCACCTCGGTTTTGCAGATCTAAAACTACAACTAAAAGATGCGAATCTGCTACCGGGCATTTACTGGAAAACCCAGATTGTGCGAAAAACTATAATGGCGACATGATTCGGATAACTGGTAAAGCCCGATCGTTGTTCCATCTAGCAGTTTTGGAAACTATCTACAAAGCATGAAAACACCGCTATTGTGTAGACAGGAGGAGTTCGTTTTCATCTTAGGACTCAATTGCTAACATTCTCAATAGGCAAGCGGCACTGATTGGGCAACCTCAACAGTCATGTCTCGCGTTTCTGATTGGCCTATTTCGATTCCCAACTGGGTATATAAATTTCCTAGTTTAGTTTTTTGATCTATGTTTTGACATTTTATATTCTGGAGAGTGTCAGACCAAAAGCTCAAGTATGGCTCAAAATGTTTTCATTTTTCAAAACCAATTATAACTTTTGTACCACGGAAAGTTTATTTGAATAGAGTATGAGCGCGTTTTGGGGCCATTACCTGACAATAATGACGAACTGATATTTAAATTAATTTGTTATGAAATCGACAATGTCTCAATGCAAAGATTCTATAGTGAGGTTTAAAAAAGCATTCTACATTGAATTGATTGTATTTCTGTTAATGTAATAGTTGTAACGTGCACTAGACCAAGCACTAGACAATTGTCAAAACGAGAAATAGGTTATTTTTTGTGGTAGGTCCAAATCTGAAGAATGTGAAATTAGTCTTCGGTTTTATCGATGCCTTTTGGTTAGAATACACAAATTTCCGTGTATCTATTTATTTATATCACCAAATATACCATAAATTTTAATGTATCCCATTCTCCAAAAAGCATCTTATAAATAAACTGCAAATTTGAGGCCTAAATGGATATATTAATGGTTTACAAACCGGCAGTTTTTAAAAACTAAGCAACAAGATGGCTTCATGGAATGGGTTCCCGGCAAGCAAACAGAGCTGAGGAAGGCATGAAATGACAGGGCCTAAGAGTAAAACAAGCTCTTTGCGCAAACATACAAAAGATTTACACATAATTTAATCAAATATGTATTGATTACACCATTAAAACTTTAAAGATGGAGGATGGCATGTCAGAGAAATCCAAATAATTTTTTGCAAACGGGGTCACTTAACTACAGTAAAAAATTTTATCTTAAATAATAATTATCAATTAAATCGCTTTTGCTAAAAAGCCTACAGCCTGCATATATCATGCACATATTCCATTAAAACCAGTCGTTTTCACCAAAAAATAAACACCACAATTTCACCACTTTACATGATATTCCCAAACAGGATGGAAAAAATTCTGGATTCCCTCAGCAGCACTAGAAAATACAGAAATAAAAGTTTCCAAATTTCAATTGTTAAAATCGGTTATCTGATGTATTGTCGCGTAATTTAACATAAGTTTACTTGATTGATACAAATTATTAAAAAACTAAAACATCCAACTATGAATCACAATAAAAGCACATGACAACTTAACAGAACTGTCTACTTATACAGGATGACTTGAATTCATCCTTTACCTGGACAATAAAACAATCCTAGGTCTTTCCATACACTACACAACAATCAACTAAATGATGATGTTTAGGTTACAGAATTTTTAAAACTGAATTCATCAGTTACAACGCAAAATTGGTGTTTAAACAACTTCAGCGAATCCAAAAGCACAAATACCTGCAAAATAAGGCATACTTACTCTAAATACATGAATAAAGCAAAAAAGGCAAAATAATCTTCTGGAATGCCAAAAGCAAATCGAACAACCTACCATCACGAAATGATGCCCTTCCAGCATCTCAGCTGTCCATCTATCTTTTGGATCACGCTTGAAACAGTTCATGAGAAAGTCTTTTCCTTCGTCACTAAGGCTCTCTGGAATTCCTGGTACAGCACCTGCACCTACTCGGTAAATAATCGCGAACCAATCGAAACCTTCCCATGGGGTCTGCGAATAAATGACCGAGAGTAAGGACCGCGAATCAGAAAAAATGAATTTAAAATCTCCATAAACTCGATACCGATATAAACAAAGTAATTTAAGAAAATGCAGAGTGAATTCAAAAGATTAGAGGTTAGAAATCTTCTTATCTTGACATGTTTTCTCCACAAACAAATACAAACAGAACCCAAAATTCCCTATAACTTGCAGGAGGTAGGAATTGCTGTGACAGGAACCTGCCCTCTCTTAACGTTAGTATCTGTATATCTTAAGACGGTTATTTCAAAAACTCATAGTTCTGGCTGTCTATAAAATCGCACCTTGCCAGTAACCATTTCAATAACGACACATCCAAGGCTCCAGATGTCTGCTGCTCTGCCATAGCCCACTTCTTTAGTATTAATAACTTCTGGGGCCATGAAAGCTGTTGAAAAAAAACGAAAAGCTTAGAAGCCTGAAGGTCCAAGAAGTAACTAAAAATGGCAATAGTCTGTTGAATACACAGAACTGGGATAAATCCGACCAGGGCTTTGGTAGCTGTGACAGATATCAACACCAAAGACAGTGATATATGAAAGACAGATATATATATCAGCACAAAATTCTTCTCAAAGCCGCAAATTTTCTTAGGCCAGCTGTCCTGTGGTCTGATCTTGTTCTTGTCCTTCCGAAGTGAATATCTACAGCATACTTTTGATGCGAAGAAAATAACTAATTTCCCCGCAAGAAAGGCAATAACCTACCTGGCGTTCCTCTTGTTTTACACACTTCTCCTTGCAACGTATGAAAAGGATCTCTTAGCCGAACGGCTGAGCCAAAATCACCTAACTTGATCAGCCCACTTGAAGACACAAAGATATTTGCACCTTGAAACAAACATAAGAGTATTGAAAAATCTTTGGAAGCAAGTAAAAAGAATAAAACAACAAACAGAGCCTCTAAGCATCATATCGAGCTATGCAATGAAAGTGAATAGAAAAAGAAAATAAAAAATAGTTATAACTGATCTAATCAATGTGTTGTCTCCGTGTCTATGTTCCTTTGTAATGTGATATTTATCGAACGATTCGTGTAAGTTAGGCCCTTTTTACAATAACGCGCGAAAAATACCTTTTATATCTCTGTGGACTATTCCGTGCTCGTGGACAAACCGTACTGCTTTTACGATTTGCTGCGTGTATACACGAATGATTTCTTCGGGCAATCCAATTTTCGAGACTTCTGCAATAGTTCCATCTTCACAGTACTCCATGAAAATCAACATTTCGTTCTGTAGGTAAGCAAAATACACTGAAAACTTTACCACTGCTAGGCCACGACATACTCTGCATTATCAATTATTATCTTTAATATTTCAGTTAAAATTTTGCGCTAAGACCAAGACAGATTGATTTTGAATGACACAAAAATCTGATTAAAATTAATTTAGGGTTTGAACCGAGCTTCGTTAGCGGAAAAAACCCTTAAAGGTTCTACAAAGAAAATTTCCATGACTATAAAGCGTAAGTTAGCAAACTAGCAAATAGAGTTGCACCCAAGAGTAACGTAAACAAGACCGATTTGCGCTCGCTAACTATTCAATTCATCGCAACCCTGACATCTGGTGTCAAAAAAACAGAATCTAGTATTACATCCATAACTGATTAATCGTTCGTGGTGTGACTTTTTACGGTTTAACGTTTGGTCTCTTTATGTATTGGCCATGCGGTAGTTATTGTCTTACAATCCCATGATATCGTACCTGCAGTGCCTGTATAGTAATCGAAATGTAAGTTGTATGTAAGATATGTTGTAAAATTTTATTTTTGAGTGAAACAGTTATAAAAAATTTCTCTTTACTCGACATTGCGCCACAAACAATGAAATTTGTTCATAGGACTGTGCCTTTGTACAAATGCTTGATCTTGGTGAAAACACCAGACATCGAGTTCAACTATACTGTCATATTCTGTACCCATTTGTTAATCAGAGCTCAGTGCAATAGAAACAGATCAAAGTATAATAATAACGAGAACAGAGAGACAATAAGTGTCTGAACAGACAGCAACTCAGGATTCATAGCGACCATTAAACAATCAAGAGTATCGAAAGAATTGGAATACCTTGTGAACTTCTACTCCATAATATTCGACTAGACTTTCGTGTTGCAGTGATTGGATATTTGTAATTTCATCCGCTATATCTTGTATTGAGCTGTAGTCGTGTGGGTTGAATTGAATCTGCAATCAATGCAAACAAACTGCTTTAAAACGGTTCTATGAAAGAGCTTAATAAAAGTTATTATAACTAAACAAAGAACGAGGAATTTTTAGGAATTGGAAAAAATGATACGATTTCTGAAAAACGATTTCCGTGGAATTTTTTTTAAATCAGTGAAGAAAGTCTGAGAAGATACAAAGCAAGGTTGTTTGAGGCAGCATATACATAATTTGGACAATGAACTTAGGAAATAAGGGAAAAGACGCTAACAAAATGTGTTTCTATAGAAATATGAAGAGGAAAAACTGCGCTGCCCACTTGATTAGAAAATTGAACGCACCTGTTTCATTGCAATCAGCTTTCCTGTATCTTGATTCACGCAGGAATATACAGTGCCGAATTGGCCTTCACCTAAAACGCAGAAGATTTTTCGTTTCCACAAAAAAAATGAACAAAGCCTGCGGTGAAGCTTTTGATTTCGCTTGCATTGATATTAAACACTATTAATTTGTTATTATATACCACGTAAAAGGTGGAATATTAAAGCTAATATCGATATCAAATATTGTAGTATGTTATAAAGAATGCGTACAAGATTAAAAAACGGCTCTATAGAGATATGAAGGATTAAGAATGGCCTGGATTAAGAGAACGATACAAAACGCCCTCCTCTTGTGCATTGACGATCTATTTCCAATGAAGCTTGCAGTGTTTTGGACCATTTTATAGCCTTGCAGCTGGAACTTTTACTCTGCTGTCAATTCCTGGAGGCATGCAAATAAAATAAAGTTACCTTCGAGTGATCAGAGCAACAATCTGTACAATTTTAATAAATTGATCAAAAACTGATTTAAATGCAATACCTATCTTATTCCCCATATGCCACTTGAAATTGACTCGCCTTGAGCTTATGTTAACCAAATCACTAGCAAGATCAGGCTTCCTGTCACTGACTCTTCCAATTATTTTTTCACGGAACAGCATATCGTTTCTCTTCTTCTCCAATTTTCGTATTTCACGACCCATTTGATCCAAGTGTGATATTGTCGATGATGCGAATTGAGAAGATTTGCGTTGCTCTGACTTCTTATGGTGTTTTTCAGCATTTGGCGAGAGGTCAAACTCTGAAAGCATAAAACCGCTTTTAATATATACTGTAAATCATAAACATCAACAGAACAACTGAGAATTTCAAACGTCCAACGAGGTTGTGAAACAATAGTACATCAATGCAACACCGACGTGATTGAACTGGAATATGAATTCAAATCTAAAAGAAACTTCAACATTTTATCGAGATCCTTAGCCTGATAACCAGACCTCGATTTCAAGGAAAATACTAAACACTAAACGAGGACCTACGTTTTTAACCTCAACACTTTCCTCGAGGGCCTATATTTGCAACTGCTTCCTTGCGAATCTTTTACAAAAGCATTAGCTTTATCAAGCAAAAACTTAAATGAGGCTTAACATTTTTGTTAAAGGAAGACATCTTTTATTTAGGAATCTTATCAGTTAAGTTTTTTGGCCAACTTAAGCAAAAAAGTAGGAGTTTCTTTAAAAAATTCTTTAAACCACATGAAGAAGATCAAAAGCATACGAAGAGATGTCAAAAACATTATTCTACTTCTATAGTGGGCGTCAATACAAAAGAGGAATTAATTATTCAAATTATCTGTTAATTGCTTTTTCAAGATGAAATTCAAAATCTTTAGATGAATTTGAACACTTCATTGCCTTACTCTGTAACACAGCACGTTGTTTTTTACAAAGAGACATTTACGTTGATTTTGCATACGAAGTGATGTCTTTACTAGAAGAAAAAGTTAACAGAAGAAGAAGTTTATTACAGTGATGTTATCATTGGCCTTTTTGTGTGACTAAATTTTGAAGGACATTTTAGAGAATCTCGCTGTTTAAAAAAAGATGCTGAAAGTTTTTGCATCGAAAAGCACTTATAATGATTTACCTGAATCTGAGCCAATATGAATAGGACAGAAAGTAGCTTGACCAGGCCCAAATGAATCTGACATGCTTTTATGTGACTCGAATTTAGCACGATTCTCCGCTCCACTTGATTTCCTCTTTGATTTCGAAGGCTTCTGTGGGGAATGGCTTCCAGGATGGCTTTTCATACGATGCATCTGACCCGGACTTGCAGCACCTGACATTACCAAGCAACAAAGATAAATAATGCTGAACATGAAATAAATTAGGCGAAACATAGGCCTAAATTTACACGCATATTTATAGATGACCATCTAGAACGCCATTTATAGGTTATATCATAGCAGCAAATCTCGTCAGTACTGACAATACAAACAAAAATCCGCAATTAAAAACTGGCGTTTACTGTATCGTAAGTGCTTGAGGCATTTATCAAAAACGGCAGGAAGTTGACAATGAGGATTTTTTTGCAACAAATGTCCATAATGCAAAAACTTTTTAGTTGTTTAACTGACTTGTTTAAGCATAAATTTAGAGTAAAAAAGTCATGACGTAATACCCCAACTCAAATTCAAACTATTTCTGAGCAAACTCGAGCAAATTATAAATAAGCTATTAAAGACATAGTAGATATAAAAAAGCATAATTGCTTATATTTCTGTTTCGGGGATGGACAGTAACATAATACTCGAAGCCATGTAGACAAACAAATTGTACGATGATTTCATTATGTGTCATACTCTGAGTGGCAACTTAAAAACGTCCTGTTAACACACTAAAGCACAGTAGGCACAATATATAGCTTTAAGTAAATGGTGCATCTCTTATACCCAACTGGGTAACTGCTACTTGAGCCAGGAATATCTCCAATCCACACCAACAACGTAAAAAAGAACCACCAAACTATCATACTTTGCGGCTTGGGATGATGGTTATGGGTACATCAACTAATAACAATACCTGTTTGGGAGAGAGCAGGTTCCGGGTGGCCATAAATGTGAGTAATGCAGTTTTGTATCGCTTTCTTCATCTCCTGGAAAGTGATGAATATTACAGAAAACATCAACCAAGACAACAAAATTCGACAGAAGACAAAAACACAGAATATAGATTTATGTTGACGTAATAAAGAACTAAAATTTTATGATCCAAAATTCAAAAACTTTAAAAATATATTTAATGACGCGATTACTTTCCCATTTTTACAACGCCTCAATTTTAGAAATTAGATATTTCCAGGGGAAAAACAAAGACTATTCCTTACGAAATCAATAATTTATTCACATACATGTCGTCATCTAACATTGTAAACAATGACACAATTTTCAACAAAAATAATAAGTAACGCCAACAGTTAGGCTAGTCTACAAAACTCGTGTCGTGTCGATGGGAGATGTTCGCTTCCTCGGTAGATTTCTTCCCATGGGCCTTAATTTGCTTCAGGATTATTCAAAATAGTCCATAATTGAGTTTTTAGCTAACAATTTTAGAGAAAAGCTCTATGGGAGGGTAGATAATAGGCAATCTAAGAAGAGTTTTAAAAGTAGAGAAATCGAGAGAGGTTTTCTCACCTGGAAATCATTTTCTTCCATATCTCTTAGATGCCTGGGGTGACAAGCATCAACAATGAATTCAAGCCCAGTGGTTGACCATCTGTAAAAGAGTCAACATCTTTCATGAAAAAGTTTAAAAATGGTACTGCTTCATTGAATTTTCATCGGACAGGCTTTTAAGCTGAAATACAGCCACTTGGTGCAACAGTTATTCATTTACAACTTTAAATCCGCAATTTCATTTTTAACCAGTAATCGAAAGATAATCCCCCAGATACAGTAAAAGCCTGCGTGTAAGAACCTACTTTTTTCAGAGTGTGGCAAAACAGGTTCTTGTATTATGGGGTACTTATTGACAGTTTATTAAAATCTTAGTTAGGTTATTAAATTCTACAGAGTAGATATTGTTTTTGATTATCAGAAAATCTGATCTGTTCTTCATTCTAAATATTTATTAGTGTACCAATGTTGCAAAAAGCTCAACAACAATTGACCAATGATACGATATTGTATCTAAAATAGTAGCAATAATTGTTTCATAATAACAGTTCAAATTTAACATACATTGCGCATTTTGAGTTTTATTTTAACAATTTAATTTTCTGGCACCTTTTTGGCTTTTGGTAAAGAAGTATATAAACTGAATGGCTAAACCCCAAATATAAGAAACTGTTGGAAATTGTTTGGCTGAACAGGTTCTTATATTTTCGAGTATTAAAAAATCGACATGATAAACATTTCTGCCAGAAGGTTCTTAAATCCTTAGGTTCTTACACGCGGCTTTTTACTGTAGTATAGATATTCCCAGAGAAAGCAGATCACCCTGGACGATGGAGAGTATCCCATGCGATGCAGATACAGACCTCGGACGCGCGAACGGCGCTCGCAGGCGAACGGTACACTTCCAAATAATCCATTAAAAACTAAATTTTTTGACAATTAGTGACAAGATAAGCAAGCCTCTATTTCTTTAATTTTGGAGTGACAGAATTTTCATTTTAAAAGTATCGAATCTTACAAGCATGATAAACTCAAAGCTAAGAAACAGAATCCTAATAAGATGCTTCTTATAATAAGACATTTCAATGAAAGTAATTGGGAATGGAGCCTTTGATGGCTATTTTCATATCTTTGAAATGAGAAAAGCCCAGTGTAATATGGGAATTCTTGCAACCTTTGCCAAGGAAGCGAATGCAAAATCCTAAAATTTAGAAACCTTGAAAAGAAGATGTTGTAAACAAAACTGCTCCATTAAAAGTAAAGCTTTTAAGATATCGAAAAGCGCTTTTACTGAAGTTATCTTTATTTGATGAAATCGATAACAATGATAGGGCTACTTGACAACCCAAAACAATTCGTAGATAAAAACTGGTAGCATTTATTATGTCATCTGTTCAGTTTTACATGTAGTTCATGATGATATTGATAAGGTATATGCTTTTGAAAAACGTAAGTTGGTGTAGCAGCACTGAGCGTAACAGGGAGGCTCTTAATTTAAAGGGTGCAATTCATGACTATAAATTGCTCCCTATTTTACTTGCAGACACATTTTTACTCAGCTTTACGCTCGCAGGCACAAAATATTATTAATGAGCCCTGTGCAGATAGTCCTTGACGATGCAGATAATCCCAGACGATGCAGATAGTCCCAGACGATGCAGATAATCTCGGACGATTCTTACCTTTGCACCCTAATCTTGGTGCAAAAGGTAAGAAGGAATAACGCAAGAGGACAAAGAATGGTACAAATGAGAAATAAAATGTGGTCAGCGCAAGTATTGAAGCATTGGAAAATAAATAAAACTGATTATTATGGACTAGCTTTATCAGAATATGGAGTACTGTCGTTGAAAAAGGCATTTCATATTTTGGGAAGTGTCTAACCAAACAAGGCTGGTTAATTTGCTCTAATCTTCTTCAGCTACTTTTTTTAGTCCTAAATTTGTACTGTTTATTTGTCTAAAAATGACTGTAACCAGAGCAGAGGTGGAATAATGATACTATGTCTAGAGCCTAAGTTCAGATATAAACCTACAAAATTTCTCTGTTGCATTCTGCAAGGACGTTCTTGCGTGTTTAACAGCATTGGCATATGGGATAAAACTATACAAAAAATTCTGCAAACAGGGACGTATTAACATTATCTCATTACAAATGTGGTGGGCTTAAAACTTCCAAATCATCAATTTTCTTTTTATGATTTATTGGCATACAAATCCTAATCTGCAAACCCAAGAGTTTATTGATTTCTGTAAAACTGGTTTTTATCTTCATAAAATATTTGCTACAGACAGCATTTAGCTCAGTTTGCAGGGTGTCTCCCTTAATAACACGGAAGAACAATTTAAATCAAAGTTCTACGTATTTTGCAGAAACTCTTTAGGAAGTCTGTTAAGGGTCCTGCTTAAATAGCCTACTGAAATTATCATAAAATCTGAAAATTTGAAGTGTAAAAAAAGTTAAATCGTTTTAAATAAAAGCTGCAGATTTCAGGTTGTATTAGTCAACGATGTTATTACGACACGTGATACATACCTAGGCTTCTTTCCGCGGCCTTTGTCGACGTTATTACAAACGAAGCCCATCCATTCCTTGGCGAATTCCATCATGGATGGACACAGATTTTTGGTCTGGCCACCAAGCAGTCTGTCTAATTCACGCAAATACTACAAGAGTAATGTAAAATTGCTTCAGAAAGCTTGCAGCAAAATAAAGTGATCTTTGAGCACACAGAATTGAGGAAGAAACATACAGAAAACAGTGAATAGGGATAAACATCTGCGACATTTTGAAGATCTCGCAGGCAAATTTGTTGAGTGGTTGACTTTCTTCCAAATCTGCAATTAATGTTCTCAATCTTCCTTATTTTAACACAATGTAAAATCGCTAAAAATCAGATAGGCAGTGTTATGTACCAGATAAAGACGCAAATCTTGTTTTAGCACAGCATTAGGGGTCTTATTAAGTTTTTAAAGAATACATTTAACTGATACATATTGATAACGCCGCATAGATTTTCGTTCTTTCACTGTTATGATTTTTCAAGTCTTTGATTGACTTTGTAATAAAACCTCGCCCCAATTGTGCAGATTTTTAATGACATGGTACTATTGAGGATTAACTATCATTACTTGAAAAAACATGAAAAAGATAAAAAAATTGCTTTTGTCAACAAAACTTTCTCATTTTGGACAATCCTTCCACCAAACAAGGGTGGTAAGTCTGTAGGGATTTCGTGTCTCACTGGCATGACTATTATCAGAAATGTGGTGGGGGCACAGAATGGTGGTTCATTTAATATTTGCTATTCTCTAATTTCATGTACTCTCCAATACCTCCAAGTGGGGGTTGAAATCTACATGTTAGGAGATCATGGCATATCTCAGGTTCAAATTAATAAAAGCGCTGCAAGACAAAAGCACAGAAGCAATGCACCAAAAAGTCCACCGCTTCCTACGACTGTTAGAGAAATGGCCTAAATTTAGGATCCACCCGGAGTATAATCGAATTCGACATAGTATTTACAAGGTTAAAGAAAGTTAGTCACACCATTCGTTAATTATCAACAAACTGGTTAAAATCAGACCAAAGTTGACAACTTCATGCCACAGTCGTTTTAGTTCTAAAGCTAAATTATGTTCTTGCCGACTTGGCTAATTCAATTTAACATGGCATAGCTATGGGCATGTGCCGAGTAAAAGACTTCAAGTTTTCAAGTAGAAAATTTTAGTAATATTACAGGACGTACTATTTGTAGAGTGTTGCCGTAAAAGGCGGGAACCTAAACCTTTTAACTTAGCCTTTATCAGATTTTAGGGCAAAATAGATTTACATCTGTTTATGCGGCCCAAACGATTGTTGATATCTCGCCTGTTTAAATAAACAAATAATCTTAATATAGTCACATTCGACAGGAAATCCTTTGAGAACTGCCAATAGGGTAACTATTCCGAGTCAAGGCCCAGATTCAATCAACAAGTTAGGGCTGATTTATACGTCGTGCTTGACTCGCATCAATCTAATATAATTTGAACCGACAAAAGCGCGAGTTTGGCTCAACAAAGGTAGCCTGCGTGCAAACTTTACTTTTCGTTGCCAAGGAGAGCCAGGATGGAACTTGTGAAGTCTGCGAATTAGCGTCCCGTTATTGAGTTCTGAGAGCAAAAGCTCTCCTGCGAAGAGGAGCTAAATCTTGCGCAATAAGTTGACGCCGCAATTTAAAGCCTGCAGAGGTGATAGGCCTATGCTCACCGATAATTTGTTCCCCTTCAAGTCATGCTCATCAGCACGCGATCATTGTGCTTGAATTTGATTGGGTCCTTAGAATCTCAAACCAGATACTGATTGGCTAAAATACAATACTTAGACAAAGACGAGATCTATTGCGCAAGGTCTCAGAACTCCTTCGCAACGGAAAGTAAAGTCTGCACGCAGGCTACAACAAAGGCGTTCGATTTTGATTTAGACGATGGACTTTACTGGTTCCCTGTGGCTCGTGCCAAATACACTTATGTGGGTTACTTCATTTTTGCCATTGAACTAATTCATATGATTTTCGCACAGCCACACGGAAATAGTAAACTGAAAACGCTCGAAACAAAAACAAATCAAATATGGCGCCCTTTCACGCAGCTAAAGTAAGTTTTTCTTCTGAAGTCGCTTATTTAAGCCAGGAGAAGACGACAGAATATGCAAGCAATGATGATTTATTTGATGAACAGATTCTTCTTTTGCTACAGTTCATTCTAACTGCTCTACAACAAACAGTTACAGTGCCTAAGACTAGGATAAGATCATGCCGTGGGTCAATACGGAACACTGGTTGGTGGAACCTCTTTGGACAGAATATTTCAAGAACAGGTTTAAAAAGACATTTAGAATGACAAGACAAACATTTTCCTTAATCCATGATAGAATCAAGGATGATTTAATGAAGGAGAACGTCACAGAAAAAGCAATTCCATCCCAGGCGAAACTTGCGATTTGCTTGTATCGACTCAGTAGAGGAGACTTCTACAATAACATTTCAGAACCAGCTGGTGTCGGCGAAATAACTGTGTGCAACATAATGAGAGGTAGCTAAGGCAATCATTGAAAATTTATGGAAAGACTTTGTTCAGGCCAAATTTCCGCACAGCAGGGAGACACTGAAATGGAGCATGAGAAAATGAAAGAAATGGAGCAAGAATGGCAGTTTCCTTTTGCATATTCAGCAATCGACGGTTGTCACATACCAATTAAGTGCCCACCTGGTGGCCAAGAGTCGTGTAAAGAATTTCACAACTTTAAGAACTAAAAATACCGATTTATATGGGGAAGTGCTGGTTGGACTGGTAACTCACATCAAGCAACAAACCTTTATACCCAACTAGCTGAAGGTACAGCTTTTCCACCTATTGCCTGTCATGAATATGGTGTCAGTATTTCGCCTTTGATCCTAGAAGATTCTGCCTTCCCCTTCAAGCCTTGGTTGATGAAGCCTTACTCAAACGCTACACTGACGCCAGAACAGAGATATTTCAATTATAGGTTGAGTCGTAAACGATTGGTGACAGAGTATGCATATGGGCAACTGAAAGGCCGCTGGAGAGTCTTGTTAAGGAAACACTAGCTTGTGTAGTACTACATAACATATGCATAGAGCAAGGAGATTTGGCTCAAAGACAATGGGACCTCTCCAAAAATTAAGCAACAAATCAAAGACGAACTCAAGAAGAAGTCCAAGATATTCTTATGATAATGCAGACCTCTAAGAGGTACAAATTGTTCTGCAGCACAAGCTCGCAATTATTTTAAAGACAAATTATTTTTGGAAAAGCAGCAAGCTTAGGGGATGCAAAACTCTCATACTTTGAGTGAGCAGAAAAACTGACAAAGTTTCAATTACTTATTTTACTTTCTAAAACTATTCAAAAAAAGAGTATGCCCGATATATGAAGATAGCTAGTAGATTCAGTGACTTATGCAGTTTAATAACATCGGATAGAAGATCAGTAATGGATATAAAATGCAAAATTGGTCAGCCGAAGAAGGCCTTTTTAAATATGAGGAATGCATTGTGTAATAGGGTTGGGTGTTCGAAAGCGTTATATCTTGTCCAAGTTACTGGATGGATGCGAGTGATGGACAATATGTAAGAATATGGAGAACAACATTGAGGCGATAGAAATGTGGCTTTGGAGAAGAAGGGCGAGGATCTCAGAGATTGAAAAGATGACAAATGAAGAGGTTTTTGCCGAGATGGGAATGGAAAGAGAACTGTTGAGCATTATCAGGAGGAGGCAACGGGGTTTCATTTGGCAGGAGTTGAGAAAAGAAGGGGGGAAAGAATGAAAGATCATAGAGGCTGGGAGGCTGGGAAATGAGCAAGAGAAAGATGAAGGCTGAAGATGGTACACTAGTTGATGAAGAATTTGGATGTTAGAGATGGTAGGCAACAAGGCAAGATTGCTAGAACTAAGTGGAGATTAAAGGAGCGGGCACCACCGTGTTCTGCCTATGTCATTCAACGCCATGACTTAAGATGAATCACATGTATCATAAGAGGAGATGAAGACAACGACTTACCTCAAAGCCAGTGTTAAAACAAAGATGCATCGTTTCAACGTAGTTTTTGTGAACAAGGGCTTTCTCACTCTGTTCCATGCGATAAATGCTCTCCAAATTCAGGGGTTTTAGAGTCTTTTGGACTGAATCAAGAATTCCTTGTGCAAGATGCTCAGCTGAGTTCTGAAAAGACAATTAGTTCAGATGTAATTTGATGATAAATCACATATATCAGATTCACAAAACGACACTAAAACAGCAAATCAATTCAACAGGTTTAAATGACTAGGCAATCTGAGCGATAGCATGATAATGTCTTCCAGCAGATATTGACAAAGATGACAATACGTTTGACGAGATATGTTCCTAAGGATTACTAAATGACAAATCATATGATGACGAGAACGATACTAGAACTAAGCCACTTTGAATCACAGATAAACTGATGACAAAGAAACAGAATCGAAAAATTGGATTTTCAGCTCTTGCGATTTGCTGCTGGTCTTATATTATGATTTATTTTGTATTTCTACTTAATTTCGACCCAAGCTAGATATCCTGAATCAGGTTTCAACATGAATTTACAAAAAACATCCCTTACCGATGATACATATTTAAGACAGAATAAAGTAATATCATATAACATCTTCTGATTAGAGGAATTTATAGCTAACCTTGGTAGTGCCTGTTTGGTATCTAAAAACCATCTTGTTGGGTTACTTGCTCTACCCCAAGCAGCATTACTTGTTTTTCACTTGCGGTTTGAATGCTAGATTTTGTTTTCTTTGCGCAATCTTGCCAGTTTTTTACAAGATAAACGTGGGTGGCTGTTGTACATAACTCTCAAAGTCCTTAACGATCTTTCGATCACAAAATATTGGCCCAACAAAATAGAGAAAAGATAAACTTTAGAAAGTAGATACAAGATGGTTCTTACACGAAACTCTAGCAGTGCCTCTGCAATCGTCTGATGGCTGGATGTCTGTTCGTTTACAAGGGTAATTGCGTCGCCTAGCAACCTCCGCAAAACAATCCTCTGCGTGAATAACTGGTACGAGTTGCAAGCTATTACCATAAGACCCTCAACCTGGTTCAGAAAATCCGGAATAGAAATCGGTAAATTTCGGTTAAATCGCACAATTTCAAAGGGGCAGAATCTGGTTTCATTTCCTCTCATTTCTGTCACAATTATATATAACTTCTATCAAATGATACTATTAGTAAAAACTGCGATATAAAAACTAGGACTAGCAAACAAATAAATGGATTCCAACACTTAGCATTAAAACACTTTGTCCCGGCGCACTTCGTTAAATTCCCATTGGTTAGACTATACAATAGGCCTATTTTTATGGGGCCAATCGGCTAATCTTCAATGTTTTCTCGATTTTAAACACGCTACAAAGCCTATTGTAAACTCTGAACACGTGATTGACGGGACCTTTAAAAACCTCTACAACAGGAAACCTGTAGAACATGTGCAATGGAATATTACACAGTGACAAACAATTCTGACTAAACGATATATGGTACATAAATATGACAAGACGCTTCCGATATATACATCAGCATGTTTCTAAGTTGCTACTCCGAGTTTCACGCTTAGTGCGATCATCAGGCAATTGTTCCATCACGCAGGTTTAGTGCGCACTGCTCTACCTATACGGCAACACTTTATGACAGACCGGTTAACGATAATCGTTATTAAATATGACGTGTTTATACTAATCACATTTAGTCTCATGTCTATACTGGGTGATCTCTTGTGCTGTTATCAACGAGGGCCCTTTATACAGACATATCTAATCACATTATGCAGACCGACCTGTAGATTGGCAAGTGCAATCGTTGCATCAACTGTTGGGCTGACAGTAACAACGTCTCCATCCCACTCCACTTTCTCCTCCACAGTTTCATCTTCGTTCTCCGTAAGATTAAGAAGAATGATGTAACCATCGCTGTGTGAATTACCAGCCTCTGCGGGGTCTTCAAAGCCGCAAGTCACATTGAGAAGTCTCAGAATTTGCCTGTAAAACAAATGAAGAATCTTGAAATCTGCGAAAGAAAGATTTTCCATGTTTCAATATGGATTGCTAACCTCTGGTATCAATACGTCTGAATCCCAACCCATTTAATCCAGAGGAGGCAAGGTCGTCACAAGATCTAGCTGAAATCGGAGAATGCCAAAAGCGAGTTTACAGGTGGCACAATGAACTGGCTTTCTTGTGAAACATAACATGGCGAAAAATTTTAGGAAATTCATTTTCACAAAGGGACAATAAATTTATGATGGATGGAAGGGGTGAACCGAAACCAAGTACTATTAGACATTTTAGTCAGGAGAATGTGGCAACTAAAAAACAACAGACATGTTGAAATCACAAAAAAACAATGATCAAGAATTGTGAAGTACCGAACATGTGAAATATCGAATAGCTGGCTATCTGATTGACATCAGCCCCCCTCCCACCCCCCTATCGCATTTAAGGCTCCATTTGGACAACTCTATCTCAGTGAAACAATAATATTCGGGCAAAATCTCAACAAGGACTAGGAGGTCCGCTACCCCAATGCTGATTGATCAAAAAGAAGAGGATTCGAATAGCCTGCTTTGCCGATCTTTTGGCCTGCTGAACATAAAGGATTGCTAGTACGGTATTAAAAATTCAAATTTCATCGTATCTGGCTCGGCATTTGGGTGGGCGTGCATTGATCGGCAATACTGATCTAGATTGGCACAGATTGGCACAAATAATTTTTCTAGACCATGTTGTCTGCATACATTTAAACTAGGTCGTTGCTATTACCAAAAATCCGTAGCAGGGCACAAAATTAAATAAATGAAATATATCAATGGCATTGTAAACTTTACCTTTTATCTGCAGCAAGTTGTTTTTGGGTGTAGACTTCGTACTGTATATCCGACGATATACAATCCACCTGTAATTATAGCTGACATGAAAGCAAATCTCTTCTTTGAAGAAGGAAAACATTAAGCTAAGTAATTTTCAGTACAATATACATCGACCATCGTTATGCAAAACAGTTTCTAAATCTAAATACACCCGTTCTTCGTTCACAATATCATAAGACTAAGCTTACACGTCAAGATTACACAGCGAGACCTTTTCCAAGCAACTCGAAACAAATAGGGACATCACATATACAGATAAAAGAAACTCATGACCGATTTTGCTAATATGCTGATTAGCTAATTTGCTAATTTTACTGCTTTCTGTCATCTTCATACCAAATAGCAAATGGATAGAAGGTAAATATTGGTTGGTTACAGGATTAAATGTTGTAATACTGTGAAAAAGGCATAAAACATCTCATACAAAGATATAACACAGTAGAGAAGGACTTTATGCAAAAGGAAAACACGTAAAATGAAGCGTTTGTATCCATGAATAATGCTATCAAGAAGGAATAGCGAAATGATGGCATTCATTCTGTCGTAAAAAAGGCAAGATTCAATAAAAGTATATGTTATTATGAAGATTCATCGTATGGTTGGCGATACTTTTTGCCAGGCTAACCACGATGAGGCAGAGGATTTAATGAAGTGAATGCCTCTAGACCCGCAACCATGGCTGGCCTACGTATGTCGGCACATAGAGGCATCTCTTTGTGTCTCAAGAATTCGTCCCTGCGCTAATGCAGACCTCCGGAAGATATTGTCACAGAGCAATTGCCAAGATCCACAAATATTATGATAGTCTTACTAACGTTGAACCACCAACTATAAACGCAATAGTCTTGCAAGACTTACCTTAACGTGTCCTGAATTTTTCAACAACGAAAAGATTTTCTGTACGCTCACTTCAACTTTGTATTCTGCTGCTATCCCGAGATCTTTCTGCAGCATTTTTGCAAAACCGAGCGCCTTCGCAGCTCTCTCGCGGATTTCGTTAAAGAGCTTCTTGTGATTTCTGCAGACTTCTAAGGAAATGTCCTTTGCCCTCTCAGAGCTTTTGTCCATTTTGTCAAAAAGATCTGATAAGCAATCGTCTAAACTTGATTCGAGGAAGTGTGCAGTTGAATCTAACAGACCAGTAGCCAGAACGCTAAAAGACAAATAGTTATTCTCTTTAAAGAGCACCATGCTGGCATAGTATTCCCCGATCGAAACAAATATCTAGCAAAAGTAAACTTTAATACTACTATGTTATAATTGTTGGATGTAACGATATCGTACGACATTCTTCAGGGTTTAAACGTCGGATAGTAACTAAAGGTAAGCATCCAGGCATTCACTGAAAGCTTAGGGAGTGTAAGAATAGTGCGTTTGATTATCGTTACAAAATATGATGCTTTATAAATAGAAGCTCTTCAGTCAAAGATAGAGTGGGGTTAATACCTTACAACGCATTGTAGGCTCGTCTAGAAACCTAACCTACACTAAAACACACATGATAGGCAGTAGACATAAAGAACGACTTGCCAAATCTTCCCTGCTTTCAAGAGTGGATCGTATGCATTCTAATAACCGACACGTAAAAAAAACTTTGAGAGGGAGTGAGAAACTTCCTTGCAGTCGCCTAGGATTGCTTTTGTACAATGGGTGTGTGTTTCTGCCTTCATAGAGCAGTATTCTCAGCATCAGCTCTATCAAAAGAATTCTACATGCTGTTATACAAGCTTCCACCTCCATACAGGCCTAATATAGGTAATATAGGCCTACTGCAATGATGGCAATAATCTTGTAAGCTAAAGCGCCGGTCAGTGTGTATTCTTTCACAGCCACTAGATTGAAAGTTTACCACGCTGCTGAGGGAATGTACCGTGTTTCTCAAATAAATAATAGCAACAATGATAGGGAGCGACGATACACTGCAATATATGTAGAATTTAGCAGAAATATGAAAAATCAACCTGACAAAACACAGTTTAAAATGCCTCATATGAAGAAAAACATAAAAAAACGAATTGAAAACTTACCAAAATCTTCTACCAGCTTGCGCCTCTAACCCTTTGGTATGTGGACAAATTTCCTTTGAAAATTGCCACTCGTCTTCCATCGTGTTTTTAAGGCTTCGACTGGCTTCCGGAAGACGTTGTAGAATTTGGAAGAGGTGTTGCAAATAGTCAAAGTACACCTGCGAAAGATAATATAAAAACAAAGAATGCAAAAATACTGCATTATTGCATAATATGGAAAGTTTATATCTAAAGGTATTATATCTAAAACAATGAATTATAACTCTTTTGCCAATAAGATTTACTGAATGATCAACATTGTCAAACAAGGGAGTTTCAAATTCTGGCATATTTCAATTCAGTGAAAGATTAAGTCACTGAAAATTAGCTTGAATTGACGTCGCAAATTTGACTCACTAACATTGCAATGGATCAAATTTATGTACAATAGTTTAAAATTTGTCGACGCGTTTAGGATCTGACTGAGATATCCCGTGCAAGAATGGAGCTATATATTACAATATAACATCTGAATAATCAAAACTGCGAAAATCATACATCAATCAAAATATTAGATGGCGATATAGTGTATTTCAAATGATTCCGAGTAAGTGAGAGCGATTTGACGACATCAAGGGTTTTGTGTTAGGTTTTAAACTAATACCATAAAGTTGAGACTTACAATACATACAGCTTGCTAAAACCTGGTTTTCACTTGAGTCATAAGGATCGTATGGATCATAAGGAACAGAATTTTTAAGTCTGTGTCGCTAATGTTTCTTAAAATCCAAATGAAAACGCCATCATAAAAATGTCTTAAGAGAAAAAAGCATTTGTTTTCGTAAGGTCACAAGTGTCATAAGTATCGTAAGAGTAGTGAACGACTTGAATAGGACGCCCCTTTTCCCCACCATTTCTCTGCAAGGATCCTATATGACCGCTACGAAGCTAAGTTTGTTCCTGGCAATGTATATTCTAATCAAGAGACGAAGGCGTCGCAGAAATGCGAATTGATAAATGCGATTTAATAAAATACGAAGAAAGAAAGGGTTTTGGATTCTGAGCAAGGAGATCTGAGCAAGGTGATTTTGCCAACTGGTAGACTTCGAAGACTTGTCAAACAAGCAGATGGACTGCGATATATGACCTTACCGCGCAATATAGATCCAAACATTTCGCAATAAGGGCAACGATAGAAGGAGCAATGCTTGCTCTCTTCGATCGGAAATCAGGAATTTTGTAACCTAATTCGCAAAACAAAGGAACATTCGGTCGTATGGATCGTAAAGATGAAAAAGTTTTTTGATTTTACGATTCTTATGTCGCGCATTTTAAGAGATAAAATCAAGTGCTAATCATTTTACGATTATGATTCGTGTTGTTTTCACTTGATCATAAGCGTCACAAAATCTTAAAATTGCGTTTCTTACGATCCTTACGATCCTTATGACTCTAGTGAAAACCAGGCTTAACTAAGCAACTTAGCACTGTCCTTTTCTAAACATCAAAGCATATTGAAACTTGATATGTAAATTCTTACTGAAAGCATAGACTGAACATCTTCTTCAAACTCATTGATGTCGTTGTCAATAGAATCAATCCGTACTTTATCATCAGCAGTTAAAGCTGACAATGTCATATCTTGATAGTAGTATTTGCAAATTATTGCACCGCTGATGACCTCTTTGCACTCGTTAATAAGCTTCGGATTGAAAACATAACATGTGATTTATAAAGAAAAAAAGAGAAATCATTGTCAATAAATGTGTCCTTGTGGTAAAATGAGCTCCCCTGCTTTTGAAAAGCAATAATTTTTTTCTTCAGAAAAGAAATGTTTTTTCTCATTTGTGTTGGTCATCTATCATGATTAGAATTACAACTTACAAAAAAGCTACGCTACACCCATAATTGAAATAGAATGACTGTGTTTATAAAATTCAGTGACAGTATATTGATTGTATTGAATGGTATTAGCATTGAATGGTATTGAATGGTTATGACTGAACGTATAAGACTACAGACTTCATCAGGTTCGTGGCAAGATCCAGAAAAAGCAGTAGCTCAAGGGGCAAATAGGCCAGTGTAAATAATATCTATTAAGTACATTCATCTAATCTAGATTTTTTCCATTCTTTGCCCCTCTCCCCTTCTTCACATCAAAGTCAAAGTTAAAAAGAAAATTTAGTAACTGGAAATCTGATGGAAACTTTAGAAGCCAGATTGCGATTTAGGATAAGCAATTTGGCTTACATCGTTTACATAAAAAGGTATTCTTCCATTTTGATAATGGCTTCATGGTGATGTGATTCGATGTGAAATGGTCAAAAAAGATTCAACTGATCTAGATAATGTAAGTTTGAACTCCCAAAACAACTTTGCAGTGAAGAAAAATTTATGTATCTAATTAAATCCACATCAAATCAACATTCCAAGCAGAAAAGGTTTTAAATTTGTGGAAAGTCTTGATTTTGGAAGCAAAACCCAAATCTTGGCACAAGAATTATGCACAAGAGCCTCTAAAGGAGTCGAAAGTGTGTGCTTGTTGTGAAATAATCAATAACAAATTAAGACTAAAAAATTTGGGATTTGCTGCTTTACCTGTTTGATGCTCATTGATGATGGATCTCCTTTCGGTCTGTGATCCAGATGATACCGCATGCTCTCATGTAATATATCAAAGGCAATTTTCGTTAGAAACAGATATAGTTCAAGAAATGATGGAAGACCCATGTCTGAAAATTCTTGGCTCCATACTCCTCTATCATGGGTTTGCGTGTCTTTAGTTTTGAAATCTTCAGGGTGCAAAACCATTGACTCTAAAACAGTCTTTTGGCTTGGATCATCAATAGAGGTCTTTTCAAGGAAATTCACCAAATCAATTACTTTGCCATAGTTATGCTGCCTTTCCATCAAATCATGTGCTTCAGCAGGTACCTTGAATAAGAGGAAATCAAGATTTAAATATCTTTGAACAAGACACATTGATCAGGCATCTTCTTAACAAAAGCTACTTTGCCTGCACAACATTGAGATTTATTTGGCACATTTTCTATGCTGCATTCTCTCCTGGGTTACTGCCACTTGGGCTGGATAAAATCATGCAGACTCTAATATTTGCATGACTGTGTAAACCCCTCTAACAACCTTTTGTATTTGCAATATCTATTTCATCAGCAATTATATGTTGTGTTCAAACATAAACTTTTGCAATTGACTTGCATACATTGAAATGTATATCATGTCAATGAGATGTTGAGATGTAATTAAGCTAGGCATTACGTTCAATCAACTAAAACAGAAAGGAGCAAATAATCAATCAAATTGCTTCTTCGCTATTAAAATATCAACAAATATTTGACATCTAGTGGACAGGCTTTTCTAATTATTGTATGAAGGCGAAACCTTATATACAACAGTGACTGGGAAAATTATACTAAGTAGATACAAAAAGCAAAAATTCTATTTTATTGACATTTATTATAACGGACCAAATTGCTTAAGAGACAAAGGTAAAGGTTCCAAGAAACATGGATTAAACCCACCTCAAGAGCTTGCCTTGCTTTCCATAAAGTCTTATGCAAAGCAGCCTTGATTCTCCTTGACAAGCCATTCAAGCCAATTTGTCGAATGTTCTTTTCCACAAATGATCTATACCGCGATGTAGTTGTCTCTTTTAGAACAGATCTTCTTTTGTGAACAGGAGGAGGTGAAGTAGGGCTATTAGGTGCTGTCCCTCCAGAAGGGACATCGTGACTGCTTGGCAGTTCTTGGTATGAGTCATCTCTAAATGACTGCTTTCTTTGTTTATAGGTTTTATGCGTTTTGATACATGTTAAACCTGAAAAAAAATTTTACAAGTTGATAAGTTACCTGCAGGCTTATTTTTACTTTTTTTGAGACAAATCGAAAGGCAGAATGTTCAACAAAATCAGAGTACATCATTTTATCAGCAACCAGTCTGTTTATTCAGAAGAGAGAATTAACAAGAGACTATCAACTGCAGTCACCTAGTTGAAATGTTATGGCTAGTCTACTTCAAATCTTTTTGCAAAAGCAATCTTCGTCAAATTTCATTACAAAAACTGTGACTTTGAATTGCTGGATATTGAGTTTGTCAAATCCAGCATTGTGTCCCATTTGAAACAAGAAGAATTTATTAAAGGCATTTTCCTTGCACCATTACTAGTCAAATTGCTGAGCTTCAGCTATTGTTTCTCTGTCCACACCTCTTTCCCTGGTGTGCAATTAGCATTTGGTTTGAATGAAACTGAGTATGCATATGAAGCGATATTGCAGTCTAACTTTGCATACTGTTTTGGGTTTAGTCCTGAACCAGTGATTATCTTTTCTTTCACTGCAGGGTATTAAACCCTGTCAATAGAAAATATTCAAGGTTGAACAAGCAATTAACAAAAGGATATGCTATTTGATTGAAGTTTAAAGGCTAGTCTTACAAGATTTCTTTAATAATGGCTTTTGTCCCCTTCAATTCCATTATCTCACCTATCAGGGCAGGTAGGGTTTCTAGTTTTCTAGCTGAGACTCCTCCCATCTTAAAATTGTTAGTGGTCAACTTAATTTCTTTTATTTAATTTAGCGAAATGCTAAAGCTAATAATATAAGTGCTAAAATTCCTGCTTCAAGCCAAATTGCAAAAATTACAGAAGCTTTTTAAAGGCAGCTTTATGGAATAAAGTTAAATGAAAACAGGCTCCACTTACCAAGACCATGATCAAACCAATCCTCCCAGGTCTGGTTGTCATCTACATCTACATCAATCAAACTAGCTATAATTTGAAGTTTGTGGTAAAGTTCCTTGCAAATGTTTAGCCATAAATTAAGAGTTTCAAAATTTCTAATAAATTTAGGATCTGAATATTTTGGATGCATGTCTGACAATGCCTTTCTTGTTGGATACAAAGCAGTGCCGTCTTCTACCTTCTTTAGCAGCATTATAATTATATGCATGGCCTTGCGTTGAATTGACCCTGTGAAGTGATCTTCAGTGGTAGAACAGCCATGGCTGACATCATGTGGTAAGAATGGCAGACTCACTGAGGGGGCTGTTGAAGCACTAGAGGGTTCCAATGGAGATGAATTAGAAGTGCTGGTTGTTGGCTTCTTTATGCTTTCTAAAACCATTGCTTCAAATTTTTCCAAGGCAGTTGGGAAATGAAAATTAATTACTTCATCTAGAATATCATCAAAGTTCTTTCTCTCTTCAAGCAAGTAATTGTCTTGTTCTTCAAGTTTTCTTCCATAGTGCCATGCTTGAAGTTCAAGCCACAACACCTGATCAAACCGAATCTGTAAGTTTTGATTTTGCTCATTTTCATCATTTGGTACACTAATACTTGATTTTCGTCTTTCCCCTTTTCCATGCTTGTCACCTAACTTCACAAGAAGCTGAAAAGTTTTGAAAAAATGAAGGCGTTGAGGAGGGCAGTCTTGGCCATGAGAAATTTTGCCAAAGCTTCTTGATTGAGAAATAGAGCTTGAAGCTTCTGAAGACAGGGCTACCTCAGCATGTTTGTCAAGCAGGGCTGGAACTGATTTGATACTGCGATACCTATTTGATGATGCAATACTAATACTTTGCACTCTTCTTGGTAAAAAAGGGTTCTGTTCATAATGACCATCCTGATCAGCAAAACCATGCGAGACTACAGCTCTTTTCTGCTCTTTTTTATAATGGTACACTATTTTGTGTCTATCTTTTGGAATGTTTACATGAAAACTGCTTTGTACTTTTGTATCTTTCTTGCATGATTTCGATTTCCCTTTCAAACGTCTGATGTGCCGAGGGGGAGTTGTTCCACAATCAATACCTTCTGCTTGATCCAACAAATCAGATTCTTTTTCTGAGCCGCTGCTCTCGCTCCCACTGCCAACAACAAACTTGTCCTTTGATGGCTGGCGAACATGACTTCCCTTGGTCCATCTTGGCAGGGAGATCTTTCTGCCGCTACCATTGTCATGATCATATGGTGATCTACCATGCGTTGCATTACCATCTGAATTCGATCTTATAATCTTGCCATCATCGTCCGATCTCGGCATTTTTCTTAAGCTACTGGCATAGAACAATCACCCTGCAGAATCGAAATAAGGACAAAGCAGAGGCGCCAGGTAAAGGCCCCCTACATCATGTTTTCAAACCCCGCCGTTCAATCACATGCCTGGTTTTGCGACACTGGGCAGGCGTTTGCTCAAATCTAGCTCTGTGTTGGATGATGTATCTTAACAGAGCAAAAAATACTACTGTTTGTCTTGCATTTTTGCTTGTTTTCACGAGCAACCTTTCAAATCACTATGCGATCTTGTACCACCTCCTTGTCCATGTTTTTATTTGCAATGAAGCCTCTTTTCGAAGAACGACTCAATTCACTTCATTTGCAGGAATATGAAACTTCTCACAACTCTGCTCAAGAATGGAAGTTTGTTTTGGAATGAAACATGTAAAAAAAGTAGATGCTTGTGCACATTTAATGGCAAGCAGTTGGAAGTTGTTGTTAGCACTTTGAGAGTGGATCGTGTTGCCTCGTCAGGACTTGGTATAAGCCGCAGGTAAGCTAAATCGCTGTCCCTCTCACAGGACGACAGTCACACCTCCTGTGGCCTGGGAGAAGAGAGTTTGTTTCGAAAAATATTAGAGCTGGTCAGGCGCAGATCTAGACTGGTTGCACAGGTTTAAAAAAACCGGTGAAATTCTAAGAGCTATGTTTCTCTGTGAATCTTGCTTTTCTATCTAAAATGTCAACTGAAACAACTGTTGCTACAACATACTAAGTTGAACAACCACAGAGTAAGAATAACCAGAAGGGTCATTCTTTTTATGTAGCAGTTACTTTCCGACTACTACCACTCTTATGGATGCTCAGCCTGTTTTGGGAGTTTCCTTTGACAAATACAAAATTATGGTAGAGAAATATTTTCCAATGCACATTAAACTTTCACAAAGCTTGTTTACATGCTGGTTCTCGTTTTCATGCCAAGTATTTGCATGTAAATTAAAACATGTGCTAGTAATCTTAGGCTTCACTCAAAAACGCTGAGTGACCCTTCTAGTTATTCTTTTCAGATGTAATCAAACCCCTACACAAGTTCTAAATTTTGTAAGGTGGCTGAAAAGCATCAGCAATGTGCAAATGAGAACCTGAGGTCTTGTATTTAGGGAGTGGCAAGAAGAAGAGGATCAAGGCTTGCATACAAAAGCACAGAAAAATTTCACCTCTGTACACATCCGCGTTTCCAATGTCTGAATATTCTTCAAGTGAGGATTAAAATCAAACTAGTTTGGATTAATTTACCTCAACAAACAATTTTGAGACTGTAGGCTGATGATGCAAATTGATTATTCTTTCAAAAATTCTTCATTGGAATACAAGGAAAAATATTCCAAGAATAAAATCTTGTGCTTAAAATAGTATCATACTTGTATAATATTCTTTTGTGTAACCAGGCCTTTAGAAGAACTTTGTTGGCTTCTTTTTCATGGTATTTGACTTTTTCTAGGCATGCAGATTTGGCTTTCTTAGCAAAGCTTCTGTACCTGAATGGTGATGTAGTTACAAAGAAAAGTACTCAGGTTCCAAAACTATTTCACATCCTGTTTGTAGCAACATATTTCATTAAAGCTTGTCTACTTTGTCTTACTCTTCTTTTAAAGTTTGTAATCATAACCATGGAGCTCTAAATAGCAAACTTCATTCTAAAAACTAAAGCCAAATTGGGAAAGCACGGATAACAATGCTATCTGCTTTAAAGCTGATCAATTTACATTTTATAGATTTTCCACATGTAATTCTTGTATTATAACATGAAGAGAGAGTACCAAATAAAGTGGATCCTTGTACCATTTTAGCAATAGGGGACATTGCCCCCTTCCCCTGGAGAAGATAGATATAAAGATTGAGCTTTTTAAACTGCATAATGTAATTTTCCCAAACATAATGTAATGTGAAGGTTTTTTTTTCAAGGTGACAGCTGGAGATGTGATAGATCTTATCAGAAAGGATGAGTGTACCGATGAACTTGTAAAGTTTGACAGTGTTAAAGTGTTAGAGATGGTTGATAAGACTTTGAAAGGTAAAGAGCGCATACTGCTATCAAGAAAGAGAGGTGTCTGTTTGGAATGGAACCAGTTCAAAGATCGGTTTGACAAAAAATCTTGAAGATTGCTGTATAAATTTATAAAAATACTGTTTTCATATAAATAGTGTGTGAATAGTTATGAAAATACTGTTTTGTGTATTGGCTGTGTCAGGGATGCTACAAAGTTCCCTCTCTTCCTGTACTTTCTTTTTACCACAGATGTTGAGTTTCCATAACCTGACTTGTATCTGGCTACCTTCTTGGTGTGTGTATGTTATCTGTAACTTTAAGCCTGAAAAACGTATTACTGCCAATCCTGGTTTACTCATTTCCAGAAACCTACAACCGGGCTCTGCCAATTATCCAAAATATGAGCCCCGCCATTGTCCCTTCTAGCAAATTGGAAGTTTTGAAGGGTAGAGGAAAGAAGTTCTTTTTCAATTTAAAAGTTGATTAAATTTTTAATGCAGTTGAATCCAGGAAAACATTTTTTAAACAAACTGATTTTGTATTCCCATTGGATTTACTAGATTATTAGAGTAAAATGCCTTTCTGACTAATATATTTATTTCGATCCACAGCTGATATATATGTTTGCTAGCATATAATTTTTTGTCAATGTTCTGGAGTTTTATACTGTTAAAAATGTCAGGCAAAAAGGAAGATTAAATATGTCTTGAAATGTTTGCTTTTTTCTAAGCCATGTTTAAAATTGGTGCTGCCAAAAATTTGTTTAAAATTTAAATTATCTTTATGTAAATAAATTGGCATAAAAAACCTCAATTCACGAAGAACTGGAGTAGTGTGTTATAGAACCAGGCATGAGTAAGCCAAGTTTTGCAGTTTTCTCTCAACAATGTACAATCTAACTGTGTACAAAGGACTTTTGGTGAAACATTTAGATGGCAATCCAGCAGATCGTAAACCATATGCATTCTCCACACTTTGAAAAACTATTCTTCAAAACAATCAAAATGAAGTGCAGTCTGGGTAATGCTGAAAAATAATGTTGTTTTCAACTCTGGCAGTAGGATTCCATTCCATCTTAGTTGGCATAATGCCATGATAAGGAGCAAGCTGAGCAAAAAACAACAATTTCAGCCAATATTAACCAAATTTAATGTCATGCTAAAAGAGAAATATACAGTTGAATGCATTTACTTTAAGTCAAGCAAAGTATTCTTTATCTACTGCAAATTGTTAAAAACTTCTTCGAGGAAGCTCTTAAAGACGGGAGCGACCGCATTATCCGAGCCGTAACCTCGGTCTATGGTATTTTTACATAACAGCAAAAGGTTTAGTTAATAAACCGTGTAGTCAAGTTTATCAAGAAAATTGGAGATGACTTGGATACTTGTAGGCCTTACGTTGGGATAATTCAGGCTTATTTAGAAAGATTTAGTAGGGAAGACTTGGGAAAGCTTTTCTTACGGACAAAAAAACTAAAATATGGTAAAGTGGGGCATTGATGGGGTAGAGTTTAAATTAAAACTTTTGTCAGGCAAAAACTGGAGGCTGAAAGGTCAAACTTCAAAGTGTGGTTCCGACCAGACTAGCTGGTAGGAGACAAACTAGCGAAATTTATCAGCAGTTCAGTTTACAAACTCTTTTCATACCCGAAAAACACTGTTCTTATAAGATTGAGGTTGAGATTAATTTCATGAAAACATCCAGAAGAGCGTAATACAAGAACTCTGTTGAAATCAGCAAACCAACACCATTGACCCCATTATTCTATTTAATGTGATAGCGTGAAAATGCTGCTGGTTTTTATTGGTTCGTTTTGTTGTAGCTTGACCTGAAAGTATAACTGCAAACATTGGAGTGGGTTTAATATTTCTCTATGCAATATTTTGATCTCAATCTTTAGCAATGGGAAGGTTTCCAGAAATGAAAATATCACTTTCTGACTAAAATATGAAGTTTCCAATAACAATGGGTCACAAAAAATATCAACTAAAAGGACAATAAAGGTAAGGTGAGGGAAGTTGAATTTATAAAAAATTCTAAAAGAAAAATTTGAAAATTCCTGGCCTGAAAAGAAAATGCCTTGCGTTACGGCAAAAATCTCAAAGATCATGTCGATTTTTTACGAAAAGTGACAAAGGAAAGCGAAACAACAAAAAAGCAGCATCTCTAGTTTTAATTACAACAGTTTTTCATGAAACGAGTCACCTTATAGGATACCATTCTTAGTGACTGGTGCGTATGCGGAAGTAGTTGGCAAGTATGAAGAGGTCTTCACCAATCCAGAATCAGTATGATTATGATTATGACTAAGAAACCCTCCTAGTGATGTCTCATTGAAATTCTGTGGCATTACTGCCATTGCCTCCGCGAATTTCCCTTTAAATACTTCCAATTCTTTGTCCTTATTTGCCAGTTGGTTTTGCGCGATTTCAAGTTGTCGTCTTGTGTCTCCCAGGGCTGAAAACAGATCAAGTTTGAGGCGTGTCTCGGAGCTCAGGCTGTGCTCCAAATGGGTGTTTTTCCCTTGCATTGCTGTTAACGCAGAATAAAGAAGCTCTGTCTCCTTTTTCAATTTCATTCCATCATTATCCATTGATTTCTTTTTCAATTTCTCGTTCTCACCATCTAATTCTGAAACCCTATCTTCCAAATCAGAAATTTTTCCCCGCATTGAGACAAGTTCCTGCTCAAGTTCTTGTCGCTTGGTAACGCAAGAGTCATGACTATCGCGCTGGTTCGACATGTCCTGAGACTTTTTCTTAATTTCCTTTAATTGCTGCTCGAGATTCTGTCTGGAATCCCGTTCGCTCTTGTACTTTTTCTCTAGACTTGTGATATTTGACTTGTCCTGCTTGGCGGTATTACTGAGAGATGTGATTCTAGAACGGCAAGAATTGTGGATTTCAAACACTGATACTCTTAGTTAAAACGATGAATTGCTTGCAAGAAAATCTTAGATCTTTGCATAAAAATGGGAAACTCTTCATTGAGAGTGCAAGATAAACTAGAATCTAAAAAACTGCCTCCGGTTTGGTAATTCAACATCCTTCAAGGCTTATTTTCGTATACTGTTGAACAAATAATTTCATCCTCAGAAACTATCCTGAAATTCGGAAAATATTCGTATTTTGCCTATTGAAAACCCCATTCTTATTCTGTATTTAGGACTGCGGAGACTTTGGTACGAAAAATTAGTAACCTTTGCAACGATTTTTTAGCTTAATGATTTCGCCAATAGTTAAAATCCCTTCTATGCGTTTTACATGCGAACTTTTATCGAAAATGAGTCCATTGGAAGAAATAACAATCTCAACCATATTCAATGCAAATCGGCTGGGGAGGGTACCTTAAAATAGACCAACAGATCACCAGAAATCGCTAATTTGGGGAGTATATCACAAGGGAGAAGAACTGCTACCGAGAAACGCATCGGGTTTATATTAACAAGCATATTATCTAGTTTTATATCAGACGGGACTCGTATTTTACCATCACAAAAAACAGCCTTGCAGATTACTTACTTCTGTGTAAATCCATCGTTCTCCAATCTAAGTCTGGATAATTCAGATTTCAGGAATCGCTCACTGGCATGTATGGAATTCAACTGTCCGCGCAGCTCAGTTTCCTGTTGCCTACTTGAATGTAAGTCGAATCGAACTCGCTTTAAGTCAGATTCCATTTGACCTAACTGAGATTCGATTCTTCGTCTGCAAGGAAACAAAGTAAAATTACGTCATCGAGCTATCAAACTTAATAAGACTAAAAGGTACTTGTATTATTCTGAAAAAAACTGGTTGACGATCACCTTAAATACCTAACATTATCCCTTTGTTTAATAAATAATTCACAGAATACATGTCTTTGGGTCTATTATAGTGCAGATTCGTGTACTTTCTAGTAGCTCTCAAAGCACCATTGTCTAAACAAGGGGAAATTTTAACTCTTGAATCAAAATACTTAAACTAGACATCCAGTACAGATAGAATATTAAAAAAGCAGGAAATCGTTAGACCAAGAAAATACTGTAAGAATTTAAATATATTCAAAGATTAAAAAAGAATGTAGCTAGAGTTTTAAATCGAAGCAATATGAAAATTATTCCAACCTTATTTGAACTTCATCTTTGATTCTAGCTTGCAATGACGCTTCTAAAGATTTGTCACGTGCCTGCAAAAAAATGGGTGCTTTGCTAAACAAACTTGTGAGTACCTAAAAAACGTTGAAACTGACAGCGACATCAAAAGTCAGCGCACATTCAAATAAAATAACCTTATTTTCAATTTACTTTTGTCTTTAATCAACTTACTTATCTTTTAAACAAAATTTTCAAGACAAAAAATATTATTTTTCATTTTCCTGAAAAGCTACCGAAATACAGATTCCCTATAAATCGCTGGTCGAAGTTGACCCAAGTGCGAAAGAAACAAATATGGCTCAGGTTTGCAGTAAGGGCAACTTTTGCATTTACAAGAGATGACATTGAATAAATGGACAAAAAACGCTTTTTTGGCAAAGATAAGAAACTCTATACCAACAATATTTTCGCGGTAGAAAATTTGAAAATGGCTTTGGGCAACCTTAACAGTATTTTGTTCGTGTTTCTGATTGGCCTATTTCGATCCACAGCTGGGTATATATATTTATTAGCATTGTGTTTTTGTCTATCTTCTGACGTTTTATACTCTGAAAGAGTGTCAGACGAAAAGCTTAAGTATGACTCAAAAATGTTTGCTTTTTTCAAAGCCATCTTTAAACTCTATCATGTAAATCCTGGAATTTTCCCCCTCGTATAAGCTCGCCACGTAGAAAAAGCCCCTTTCCTGGAAGGAAAATTTTCAATAAACCCCCACTGTTGAACAGGCCCCCGCCCATTGAATAAATACCCACGATAACTTGTCTATACTTTGGAAATTGAAATCGTGAAAAGTTCCAAAACGACCAACATGCATGGCAACTTGCAAATGATTTATGAGCCCCTCCCACCGTCGAATTAGCCCCAATCTAAAATCAATAAGCCTGCAGGGGGCTAATCCAAGAGTCTAGGGTATTGAGCCTTTTTTGATCTGGTGATAAAAAAATAATTTTATTCAAAATTCCAAAACATAGTACCAGTGATTTAAATATTTGAGCAAGCTGTTTGCATAAATGTTGAAAGTTTAAAACTTCCAAACTTACAATTTCAAATTCTGTGCTTCAAAAATAGTTTTGTTAAAACAAAACTCTTGTATGACAAGATAGTTTTAAGTTTTATGGTAAAAATGTACTAAATTTTTACATTGCTAATCCTTGAAAGATACAACAACACTTGCGGGTCAGGACACACAACTTTTTATCCCATGTTTTCATGTCGTTTCTGTCTTAATTTGCTTTGCATTTTGTGCAAAAGCTTTTGTTCGGGGAAAACTGACTAAGAAGGTAAATCGAGATTGGTCAAAAACCCGCTGTCTCCAACTCAAAAATCGGTCCTAGCAAGGTAAAAGTCACAAGTAAGGTAAAACACTGTTATAGCGCTGCTAACAGGGAAAAGCAATATCTGCCATATCTCCCCGGACGGCGAAAAAGTAAAAGAAGTGAGATAAAAAAGAGAGGTGAAGATCAAAGAGAATTTTACTTGAAGAAGTGTTAGGATTCCTTTTAGGAAAGAGATTAAATCTGCTTTCTTTAAAATGGCAAATGCGAAACGAAGCGCTTGAATATTATCAGGAACTATTTTAGAGCGTTATCCATCAATTACAAAAACTGACAAATCGTGATAAAATCTCTATGAACATACCGACTTTGGTGAGCTACTTGTACTGCTGCGCATTACACCGCTACTTGACGTGGAATCCGCGCTGTCCGAGTTCTCCTCATCCTCGATATCGTTCCGCCCTTTAAAGCTAATTTTCTTTGTATCTCCGTAATTTCTAGAATTACCCTGTGCCTTTCCGACAGAAAATTTTACATTGCCGTTCTCTATATCTCCATTGCTTATTCCCTTACGTTGCGAGCCCGCAATAGATATAGTCTTTGCTGGTATACTAGATATAAGTTCGAGGTCATTCAATGATAAGGATTTCTCCTCGATATCTGCTTTCAGATCGGAGAGTTTTAGGCCCCGTCTGTTAGCTTCTCTCGCTAGCAAAGCTTCAACGTCCATTTTGGTATTAATACCATTTGTAAGTACTGGCAAGGGTCCTTTCCGACTCAAAAGCGACAATCCATCATCGGGATCCGACCAATGAAAGCTAAAACAAACGAAGACACAGTTATGACATTACTGTAAATGGGCTTTTTCAGAGATCGGTTTAGCCAGTATGTTTTACTATTAACAAAACTAAGAAATGATTATAAAGTTTCCATATAATACCCATAAAAAAGGAGAGGTGACATGAACTGAAAAATTGTCGACATACCTTGAAATTACTTGGCACATTTAAAAGCTTGGCACGTAGTTTGCATTTACTCTATCCAATTTCTTTAAACATTATTCTCGCGATGGGAAATTTTATGTATAAAAACAACAATGACAGGAATTCCAGGGGGTGTACATTGGGGTCGGGGGTAGAATATGGTTTAGTTTATCAAGGTTTATTTGTAAAGTCGTTATTACTGGATATCGAAAACGTCCGATCCATTTACTCCCTCCACCTAAACATCAATTGGACGTTTTGCCTGAAAGTAACAATTTGTGTGCGGTCTCTAAAGATTTAGCAGGGAATTCTGTGTTTGCTTTTTATTGGACGCTCCTGGGATGCTGGTGGCATTTTTCGTGAACAAGGGCATATTCTGAGGAACGGAATCGCTGGGTAGCATCAAAATCACTGAAACATTCAAAGAAGTTGATCCAACAAACTTCAAACTGTCCAAAAGGAACTTTCTTGTTTTAAATACGAGTCTTCGTGGTTTGAGGATTTCTACTACCTGTGGGATGTGATATTGGTATAACACAAAAATCTTCCTGTAATATTATAAACAGGATTTAAAGTTTTTAAATCAAACCTTTATCGGATGTTTGTTTTTGCATGAGATCAGACGGTAGTGCATAAGCTATCAGCTGATGATAAAAATCATTTTCTTTAGAAACATCTTCTTGTTTATACTGCAAAAAATAGAAAGAAACTCGTTGTGGTTCATTGGTCAAACTAAACAGGACCATTTCAAATGTATATTAAGTATAATTAAGGTTGATATGTAGAGAGTTACTATAATAATAATAATAAAAAATGATATTTAGTTTGTTTACAGTTGGCGTACTAGATCTAGGTCTAAGTCTAATAGCTATAAAGAAGCTAATTTAGGCCAACTATCTATGAAGAATTAGCAAAGTTAATGGCAAGGAATTAATGGAGCACGGATTGTCACAAACAGATACGGAATGTGGGATCATAGCAACTTGTGAATTTATTTAACATTCGTAAGCATTTGAAAACAGTTGAAAGTTTCATGCTAGGGGGAAGATTGCTAGCCTGGTAAAAGGGAACTGTTGGAAACAAACCCCATCGATTGATTTTAGTAATGTAACAACAAAATTCTCTCCTAAAGAGAACAGCCTCCTCAGTCTTGCAGATCAAATATGATAACTAAAACATGCGATTCCGTTATCGAGCAGCATTTACTGGAAAACCCAGATTGTGCGAAAAATTAAAATGGCGACATGTTTCAGATTATTGGTAAGCCCAATCTTCGTTCCATCTAGCAGTTTTGGAATCTATCTATCAACATAAACACTAAAAACCACTTTTGGTTAGACAGAAGGAGTTCGTTTTCACCTTAGGACTCTTTTGGTAACATTTTCAAAAGGCAAGCGGCACTGATTGGGCAACCTCAACAGTCACGTGTTCACTTTTCTTACTGGCCTACATAGTTTTAAAACTGGCTTTATATATTTCCAAGCTTAGAGTTCTCGATCTATGTTCAGGCCTTTATGACGGGTATCAGACGAAGAGCTTTAGTATGTATCATAGTCTTTTTCAAAGCCATCTTAATTTTTGTACCACAAAAAGATAATTTGATAAATATTCATTTAAATTCAAAGTTCAAGATTAACAGGCTTTCCGCGCAGTATTCAGAACTAATATAATGAAATTTTTAAATTTTAAAATATTGCCCAGTGAAAAACGGCAAGATCTAATAAGTAAGGCAATCGTTTTGCAAACATGAAAAGACGACCAACAAACAGGCAGCCATTTTTGAGTTTTTCAGCCTCGCTTGGAGTTCAACACCCACCAATCATATCGAACTATTGGTAAATTGAAACGAACTGTACATGTGCTGATTTTTACACTTATTTAGCAGCACTGAGAAAGCCTTGTATGCCGTGACAAAATATAAGCAAACAAATAACTGTTTTTCAAATGTTTTTGCTGCACGTTGTGCTGCAATCAATTTTGTAGAAACAACCTATTATAATATAGCATGCTAATGCTCCAATGACATTTCGTCAAGGGGAGGTGTATTTAAAAGCAATATAAAATAAGAACAGGTGTTTCACAACACCTTGAGCATTTACCATAACAATTGACTGCTATCTTTGTACTGGGATCCTCGTGGAACTATTTAATTAAACAATAAGATAACCTGCCTGTATGCTTTGCGGGAGGGAAAAGGGCAATCGTTATTTTCAGCGTGTTATCAACAATTTCGCAAGTGCGTGCTGATTTGAATCTTTCGTCTCCCACAATTCCTATCCAACCGAACTGGTGACCTCTCAGGAAAACCAGAAATGTAAATAGTTTTAGCAGAAACAGCTTCACTTAGGAAAAAAGGCCATCAACTCAAGAGGGAGTAGGCTCGAAAAAGTAGCATGCGTATTTCTACGGGAGATTGAAATCCTCCTCGAGAAATATGACACCCTGATTGCGATTGTAAACATTAAACATTCATGAAAAGAAAAGGCCACGAACATTAGGCTATCAGGGTAAATGTTAGGTTTTTGCTGGTGGTGCCATAGTAAACAGAGACTTAATCAACTATCTTTTTTTACTACAATATAACATTCCGTGCACTACATAGCGTTAAAGTAGACTCATGATAAGAAATAAACAATGGGACAGACAAAGGAAGTAATCTATTTTGCAATGTAAAAGTGTAAGTTGATAAAACCATAATCGAAATGGGGTTAAAATGATAAAACACTGTGAAATTTTCTTACCTGTTTAATTCTACAACCTACATAGCTTTTAAAGCCGTAGCCAAGGCTAACCATTGGGTAGCCAATGCTGAAAATCAATTGGATGAGGTTATTTGCAGCGAAAAACATAACTGTGGTTTATGAAATTATATAGTAATGCAAAAATTCAATATGTATCTTTAGCAAGGCTTCACGAACTTATACATGAATGTCAAGTCTAAAAAATTAATTTTGATATCTCACAGGGTAACATGTGTGTCTTGGACATTTAATCAAGATCCCCTGCAAAAAAGGGGCAAGAGGTGTTGATTATATATTTTGATTTCTGTTATTAAGCTATTGATATTTATTTATTTAAACACTATTACTACTCATTCACAAATAATTAGGATTCTCGGTTTCTTACCCACAAATAACCCACAAATAATCTCAGTGCAAAAAAATATGAATACTAAATAATTTGAAAGTACAATTTATTTTGCTGTGAAGTTTGAAAAAATTGTGTCAAATGAAGGTTGAGTTAAATTTGAACAAATCCATATCTTGTTTCAATTTTTTCACTGCAAACAGCATATTCAATTTTTGTTGTATTTTCGTAAAAAAGGTGTCATCCACTGGTCTGAACAGTTTTTGCCAAAGGGAATAGGTTATTTTGGGAGTGATACAAAGCACATGTACACACTATGAAGGAAATTCTGATTCTGAGAGAATTCATGACTAATATCACAGCAATTCACAAAGCATCTTCAGTTGTAGAAACCAAAGTAAATATCAGACAGATTAAAATGCTAATTAAGTAAATTTGTGTTATAGAAAAATAACTGGCTGGCAAACATAAAGATTGGAAAGAGCATTTTGTCACTGTAGCAAAGAATGTCTCTCACCAATGAGCTGCAAACGGTCTACATAAGTCCAAATGAAATGGTATTGTTTTAATTCCTCGTAACCTCACTGAGGCTTCAACATAAACAAATAACAACCAAAGTGAAAGAGTTGGAAGGCATGGACCACGATCTGCAACAAAATGTGAACAAGGTTGTCAAGAAATTAAAAAAACCCACTTTTCTATATATATACCTCTTTGATTTAGATTCCTAAGTTTCTGCTTACTGCTAAATTATACTTGGCATATGTCTGCCTCAAACACTGACATCAGAGGGAAGATTTTCAGGAGGTCAGATGCTTTTTAAACTATGGCCTGCCAAATACTTGTATTTAAGTACAAATCCAACATCACAAATCCAAGCAAAAAGACAATTGTTTATCTGCACAAGCAAAAGTGGCATGACATAGCTAGCTTTGGAAATGGAACTTATACAAACTCTAAGATTATTTACCTTTCATTCAAGGACAAAACTAATAGAAAATATGAGATTAATTAAAATTATAATCAAAAATATATTAAACTTTAGTATAATTATTTCTCATGCTTGATAATGGAAATTGTGTTTTAATTGTGATGGTGAAAAGTTACTTTACATACATGCCCCATATTTAGGTTGTTTTTCTGTTATCAGTTAATACATAACTAAACATAACTTCATGTCATATCAACATTATAACAGATAAAATAGCATAAAGCACCAATATTTACAGATGTACATAACATGACAACCTGCATGGACTAATTTCTCCTTCTTTATCAATGTTTTTGTCAATATTTTAATAGTCTAAAATCTGATTATATATAAAGCATAGCATAACTTGTGAAGAAAGAATTGTATCCTTTTCCTGACAAATATTCAATGATGTTTGCATAAAACCAAGCTTTAAGCCAAAATCTGCATGTACAAATACAAACATGTAGTTGTTATCATAGATTGAGTAAATTTTTGTTTATTATTGCTCATTTGGATCAAAACCCCATTACCTAAATTTTTATTATTTGCGTTACATCATTGGTGATAGTATTTTGTAATTCATTACCTGTATTCCACACAAAGTGAACCCATACATATGTACTTGCAGCAAAAAACAACCAATGCACTGGTAAGACAACTAGACACAGTAGATCTGCACACAATGTCACCACCAAAAATAGAATTGTTAAGCCCTAAGGAACAAGAAATGTTATGGTTTACATAAATATAGTGCAAAAATTAATGAAAGCAGAAAATAAATATATTTATACACTCCAAACAACCTACAAATGTTGGCAGTTAATTTGGTGAAATTACAAGATGTCTTTAACAAAAGGTTTCAGAGCAACTTCACAAATCAATTAATATCCCATGGCTTTATGAATAAAAAAGAATGGTGTTTCTAGCACTTGATGCTTTAAATTATACTCAAAATTCTACCAACTCCCAGGCTCTGTGAAAAAATTTTAAACAAATATCAAAAGGCAGTCATACTCTAAAAGATCCTGCAGCTGTTGATACTTTGATAAAAAGAAATCCAGTCAATTTCTAGACTTCCTAGTTGATGATCTTGGAGGGTGTTTGTACTTCGCATAAATGTATACACAGCTGTTGCAGAACTTAATAATTCATCACACAGGATGGAGCAAGGAAAATTATGCTTAATTTACTTTAGCAGAACAAGGATAGGTAACCACAAAGGATGAAGTTTTTATGAATTAGGTGTCCAAACCAAATGAAGTTGAAAATCTGTACAATATATAATTAAATAATTTAATATAATTTAATTCAAATAAAGTTACTTGAAAACACTGGATACAAATATAAATTTTCAATACTCAAAATATTAGAACTATACAATGCATTTAATTGGTATTTACTGGGTCGTACTTTCTTTATTGCTTGTCTCCTAAGTTCAATAAACAGAGATGCTATAATGGTTTAACATATTTGACTTGCGATATAGCCCAACTAATATGACACAGTTATTTTCTGTTAAAACTTATCTTTCATCAAAAGCATTTTTAATAAGGAGCTTTTTAAGTATTCTTACTTATAAACTATAAACCTTTTGAAAAGTACATTTTTTAATTTCAGAAAATCACAACAGGCATATAAAATGGCTACCTAAATAAGGAAACCTACAAAATAGTATAAATGGCTTTGAAAAAAGCAAACATTTAGTAAACTAAAGCTTTTCGTCTGACACTCTTCAGAGTTTAAAATGTCAGAACATAGATCGAAAACTCTACGCTAAGAAATATATATACCCAGTTGTGGATCGAAATAGGCCAATCAAAAACACGATCATGTGACTGTACAGGTTGATCAATCAGTGCTGCTTGCCTATTAGAATGTTACCAGTGGAGTATAAACGAAGTGTATTTACAAAATAGTATAAACGAAGTGTATTTTATTGCAAGTATTTGCTTTGAAAGTTTTGGCCTGAATTCAATTTCAAGGACTAGCATCCCATTTTCACCCTTTATTTGGATATAAAAAATTTTGCTTAATCCAAAATACCACTGGCAGGAAAGTCTCTGGAATTCCATAGAGAGGAATAAGAAAAAGTGAACGACTTACCAGCCCTTGGTATCTGAAGGAATCATAAATGCTTCGAATCAGCAACCAAAAAGGCCACAGAAACTCAAATCTGAACTCCAGGAGGAAATCCATTGTGATAACAAGAAGCCAAACAATGAAAAACCTTAGGTACAAAAACCAACTGAAAAGAAGACAAAAAAATAAAATACTAGATTATTTGGAAATAATTCAAGTTTCAAAAAGGATAAAAGTTAAATACATGTCAAATTATTGGTATTATATTGTTTCAGGTTATCTGGGGGATCTTGAATGGCATAATAACATCATAAGCCATGGGTTGTGCCAATACATCATGATCCAACTTATTAATGAGGACAGAATCCTCATTAATATGTGTAAAAAACTCTTGATGTTTTGTGGCAAGTAAGCCATAATCAAAATATTAGATTTAATAAGATTAGCATACTTTGAATATTTAATAGGCAAATATTATTGTAATTATAAAGGAAATTTTTTTATAATAAAAAATAGGAAATTTTTAAGATTAATTCCAGAAGCTGAATAATTATGCAAGAAAACTTAAATTCAAATTGAACTATAATTTGCTAGGAAGGTTCTTCTCGATTCCTAAGAACTGTTATACACAAAATAATAAGTGTGATAAGAAAGGCTAGAAAATTGGGCTTTGTCTATAAAATAATGATGTTGTTAGGCTAACATGATTATTACGGAGATCGAAACTGAAAGTTTTCCCAAAGCAGCTTAAGTGCTGGTTTTTATTTTGAGACCTTTTGTTTCGAGGAAACCTGAGTTGTTTTAGAAAAACTTTGGTACGAAGACACATCATTGCATGTCACCTACGACAAAGGAATACCACCGCGGAAACTAAAGCTACCTAAAAATTTGTGTTGATACCAGACAAACTAGCCAAGTCTAAATGTAGCATAAGTTTGGGACAATCTTTAGGGCCTAAATACTTTTAAAAGACTTCGGCGGGCTTGTTAATGAGACAGCCAGACAGAGAAACATGCTAGGGTTTTCAAATTAATGTTGTTTGAGAAAAGGTAATTTAGGACAGCGGACATTATGATGAAATGGTAGACATTCAGGCCTCTTGTTTGAGAAGTACACGCACCTGCCATGGACCGAATCAGTTATCCTTGATCTCCTAATCGGCCTTCGCAGCTTGGAGGCATCGAGAGTTCTCCTTTTCATACTTCACACTTCCTTTAACATACAAAAACATCTATTTCTTTCAATGAACGATATCCACTTGAAAAACTCCTTTCCGTACCGCAAATAATCAGAATTCTCAGTACCAGACAGCTGAATAGTCACTCCCGTCATACGCATGCGCGCAGACGCAGCCTCTTTGTCAGTCGATATCCAAACAGCAACACAGATGATCAGATAGGTAACGAAAGAAGTATGAAAAGCAAATGAACTTTATGTCTTACAATCGCTTAACACCGATAGAAAAAGACGGGCTGGGAAAATTTTATTAATTTTAGCTGAATTAGCCATGTTTCTAGCAAGATTTCAAAGCGCTGCCTGGCTAATGAAGATTCTACTTGTTAAAATGCTTATTAGCTGTTAATTGCTTATTAATTGCTTATAAATTTTAATTCTTATTTTATGTAAAACAGTTAACTTTCAAAATTATGGGTAAAAAACAATTAGAAATTCTCTCACACTATATTTCTTCTATTCACTCAAATAGTCAATAAATCATTATCATCTGGAAAAGATGCGGAGATTGCTTGAAAGGATGCGTTTGCAGAATTCATACCCATATTCAAAAAGGTTTTCCATTGAGAGTCTCAAATTATAGGTCAATGCCTCTCTCGTCTGTTTTCATATGAATTTCTGAAACATTAAAGTAAACGCGTTTATAAAAGTTTTTAGAGCCTTGTATAACCTTTACCTTGATGTTCGGACTTTTTATTCGACAATTTACGATCTCAAAATCTTTTAATTCAACAAAATCTATCAAAAACGCTCTGCATAAAAGAAAGTTTGGATGTGCAATTATTCTGGATCTTCAAAAGGTTTTTCATTCAGTGAATCAGCAGATCTGAGGGCAGCCTGAGCATTATTTCATTTGACGTACTACTCCAGCATGATTAGAGTCTCACCTTAGCAGCAGAAGTCAGTTTGTATCTGTTAAGGAGCACAATTCAATGTTGTTGTTTCAGTTATAATCGTGGTGTACCACAGGGCTCTGTCCTTGGTCCACTTCTTTTTCTTCAATTCATAAATGAACTACCAAACTCTTCAAGGAAGTTGTTTTTCTACTTATTTGATGACAACACTTATATCTTCTTTGAATCTAACAGTTTAAACAAGGATGTTGTTTACATGCATTACACGAAGCATTTCAAAAATAGGCCAAAGGCAAATAAACTTTGACAAACTGATTTGACTACATTTCAACACCTGCAAGATTACAAAGCCAACATAACAAATGGCAAAGAACATTAAAGTAAGCTAAATATGTCAAGTTTCTTGGTCTTTTGTTGGATGAAAACCTCAGTTGGATGTATCACTTGGGCGAAAAATCAAAGAAGTTGGCACGAACATGCGGAATAAGGCAGTTATTGCCTACTAGCGTCCTAGTTACTTTATATAGCTCCACATTTTCTTCTTCAATATGAAATTATTTTCTGGGATCTTCATATTCATATAAAACTATCATATATAATGGAAAAAATTGTTAACGATTGTTAGAGCTATAGTTTTCAAGTTTTTTATCATCCACACAAATTTTTCTGACTTGAAAACTCTTAAGCTGTAAGATTCACTCAATTTACGCTGCTTACATTTGTTTTATAAGGATATCTCCTTCCTGCTTTTGCAAATTTTTGAAATTTTATGAGATTTTTTTCAATAGGTTTCCAGGCAGGCTCAAAAGGTGATAACATGCTAATAACATGCTGATATATCCCAGTACGAAATGAGATCTTTTGGAGCGCGGATGCTAAATTCTGGAACAACATTTCCATGAAAAACATCAAAAATGAACTACCAAACTCTTCAAGGAAGTTGTCTTTCACTTATTCGATGACAAAACTTATATCTTCTTTGAATCTAACAGTTTAAACAAGGATGTTGTTTACATGCATTACACGAAGCATTGCAAAAATAGGCCAAAGGCAAATAAACTTTGACAAACTGACTCGATTACATCTCAACTCCTGCAAGATTACACTGTCAACATAAAAAATGGCAAAGAACATGAACGTAAGCTAAATATTTCTAGTTTCTTGGTCTTTTGTTGGATGAAAACCTCAATTGGATGTATCATTTGAGTGAAAAATCAAAGAAGTTGGCACCAAAAAGCGGAATAAGGCAGTTATTGCCTACTAGCGTCCTAGTTACTTTATATAGCTCCACATTTTCTTCTTCAATATGACATTATTTTCTGGGATCTTCATTTTCATATAAAACTATCATATCTAATGGAAAAAAATGGTTAACGACTGTTAGAGCTATCGTTTTCAAGTTTTTGTATCATTCACACAAATTTTTCTGACTTGAAAACTCTTAAGCTGTAAGATTTACAATTTAAGTTGCTTACATTTGTTTTATAAGGATGTCTTCTTCCTGCTTTTACAAATTTTTGAAATTTTCTGAGATTTTCTGAGGTTTCCAGGCAGGCTCAAAAGATGATATACTAATAACATGCTGATACATCCCAGTACGAAATGAGATCTTTTGGAGCGCGGATGCTAAATTCTGGAACAACATTTCCATGAAGAACATCAAGGAAGCTCCTTCAGCTATTACTTTCCATCGTCAATTACAAGTTCATACCTTCTTTTAGTTCATACAATTTGTCGCACATTGAACTGAACGAGCATAAATACTTTGAAAAGAATAAGGAAGCCCGAAGGTATGATGAGGTCTGAGGTCAAGGCTATACTGAATTAGTAATCTAACCAACGGAAGAAAAAGACATATCAGTATTGACACTTCTCCTCGGTATATGAAACGCGTGGATCCTAGTTATCAGGTACACTTTAAGCAAACGCGCCAAAAAGGAAACTAAATCATATAATGATGATGATTGCGTCATATTTTTATTCAAATACAAAGTCTTAAAAAATAATTTTGTAATACAGACTATTTATGTTGACATTGTTCCGCTTATTTACGATAACTAGTGACATCGAGGTACTGCATGAACTTCACTCAATGAAACTCAGAAGACCGGTCATCAGGATCCACGAAAGTCCTCCCAAAGAACAGTGCTGTAGATTCACAACATCTACTCGGGAAGCCCCTCTTGGCAGAATTGCAAAGAACATTTCCATCACTAGCATTCGTGATTTAACTGCCTATAAGTGCCAACGCAGTTCGCGACACAGTTCTACAAATAAGCAACCAAATAGGGACACTTATAACACCTAGAAACAGAAAAAAAGAGCGAATTAAACAAAATCAATTTAGTCGTAACATATTATAAAATAGTAAAAAATACCCTCGTCCTCGAATAAGCCCCATTTTCGAATAAGCCCCCCCCCATAGAAATAGCCCTCACTTTAAAATAGTTTTCGTGAAATAAGCCCCCACCCTTCAAATTAGCCCCTGGTACTGCCTCGTTATCTTTATTTTTAAGAATACTGACCAGCCTCAAATTGATTAAAAACAAACCCTAGTAAATTTTTAGCTGGAGTGAAATAAGCCCTCGACTCCGAATATGACCTTCCCCCTTCAATAAGCCCCACCTTAAAACATTTTTTAGCCCCACCTCAAATGGCTTATTCAAGGACTTACAGTAAGCTAGGTGTATTTCTGAACACACAAATAATAGTTCCAGTTCGTGTACAGGCAAGGTAACGATTACTATTATATCTTATACCGTTAATATCTAACAATGTCGATTGCATATTTGAAGCTATATCGGGAAACATATCGAAATATTCGAAAGCCCTCGAATATACCTTATGACTAATACTGCTTCTTAGGGCTAAAAAGGGTCCCGGGAAACGAAGGGAACACAAAATAAGGAAAAATGGACTCTTCGTGTCTCTCTTTTTGAGGTCTAGGACAACGCAAGGGTAATACAGTATAACCTCGTTAAGTGGGACACTCAAGGGGCCGCGCAAAAGTGTACTACTTAGCGGGCGCCCTACTTAACCGAATGCTTGAAAAGGGTAAGCAAGTTCAAGGGACCGGGAAAATCTGTACTACATAGCGAGTGTCCTACTCATCCGGAGTCCCACTTAACGAATACAGTAGTTGATATAAGGATACTGCAATACAATAACTAGATCACTACAACCCTTTCAAGTGTTACAACGAGCAACCCTCCCCTCCCTCTCTCGCACACAAAAGAACACAATTTTCGTCTAACAGTTGGTGAAATAATTACTTGGCCAGTGAATGAAAAAGACAAAGCAATGTATGTTTCCAGTTTTGTATATTAAACACTGCCGCCTCTTTCTCGAGCCATATTCAAGAAAAGCCCTCCTCGAGCATGATTCTGGGGACGTTGACAATTTTCCGGTATTGTGCTTTAGATATCAAATCATGGTGAAAAACATTTTAAAAACAAAGTATTGAATGAATAAAAAATGTCTTTTGCCTTCTCTTATAAACCTTATACAATTTCTACATACATTCAACAGTTCCCCGACACCTCCCCTTGGCTCATTCAGAGGGATCAAATAGCACACGTGTCACCTTTTTACATTTTTAATGTAGTTGCTAGTATTCACAGCCAGCTTGTCATTATAGCAAAAGAGGAATGGTGATGAGTACCTGGTAACATCAATGGAAAAGATAACAATGAACCAAATGGAAAGACCCATTGATCTGGTATCTGAATACATGGAACTTTTCTGTATAGCCAGAGTGTAATGAGGCTGCACAGTGCCTGCGATTAACAACAATAACAACAATAAATATATGAGAAATCAATAACAGGAATGAATTTATATAAATATTCAGAGAAGCAACTAGACACGGGGAAAGGTTAAAGCATTCTTTGGAGCTCTGGGGAAATTCAACTGCAACATGGAGTGGGGGCATTTGAAATAGCTGCGTAGACAAAATATACAAGCTATACCCGCAAATATTAAGCCTGATATTGATGGAAACTTAAAAAATGTTTTCATCAGAGATCAGGATACGCCTCAACTTTCCTTCAGATAAAGTTTTACCCTAATTGCTTTTCATGAAAATTATCCTTGTATCTTTTAAATAAAGGTTTCTTAAAAATGGAATTTAGGTAAAATCATCTTTGTGTTTAATCATTTGGCTTATTTCGATCCAAAACTGGGTATATACATTTCCTAGCGCAGAGTTTTCGATCTATGTTCTGATGTTTTATACTCGGAAGAGTGTCAGATAAAAAGCTTTAGTATACTCAAATGTTTGCTTTTTTCAAGTCCATTTTCAATTTTTTGCACCACAGATTGTTTGAAAAAAAATGTTCGAGTAGAATGGGAAATATCTCTCACTTTGTATACTCTGGTCAAGGTATGTAGTGGCCTCCCTCAAAATTACTGCACCATTGGACAACCTTCCCCCGGCTCACAGCTGTTGAAACCGTAATGTTTTCTGAACTCTGAATTCTGAACTCGGGTTTGGAGACGGTGTTTGGAGGGGGGTTTGGGGGTTTTGAGGCACGGTATGGAGGGGGAAGGAGTAGTTTTTCACTATCTAGGGATGCCTCCTTGGCAAATTTTCAGACTTGTCAGAAAATAAAGTAAAGTTCGCCAACTTTGTCAGCAAATGGAATCAGAGCACCCCCTTCAGCACAATAGCTAGAGACAGCCCTGACCACAATTTTTGACAAAAGGTTACAGGTTGATAAAATCATTTATGAACCAACGGACAAAGTGCTGTTCCCTCCCCCCTTTCCTGACGCCTCTGCAATAATCTTTTTAAAACAAGGTAGTTGTGACTCTCAGGCTTGTGTTGATGGGGAAATGGGAAATTGTTCTTAACAATGACTGTGTGCTAAACAATTTGTTTATCAACAATGTATATGAAGGGCAAGTTTTTACATAAAAGGGTAAAAAAATTATTGAATACCAATGTCAGGGCGCTTATTAAAATCGATACAATGTATAGAGAAACAGAAAAACAGAGATGAAACTTGATCTAAAAGAAAACTAACTATTAGGATTTAAAGGGTAAACTTAATCTAGCAGAATCACAGAATACACTTGACCAAACAAAGACAATCATTTCTTACAGAGTTGCTTAATTCAGTAAACCTATGACTATAGCTTTTAATTATCTTGCATAAGAACAGTGTTGATAGAAAAACAAAAATGTTTGGTTGATGTTCTCAAAAAGTAAGAAGATAAGCAAAATGTAAACTTTATCAACATTAAGTGAAAATAAGATGAGCAGATAAAAATTTAAGTGCAGTATATAAAAATATGATAATGATGAAAAAAAAATTCACATAAGTAATTTTAAAAGCCATCCTTGATAGAAATTAATGTTGACCTGTGGTAAAACTATTTTTTGCATCGCAGCATCTTTTGAAAGTTAAGAGTAACAAAAAGTGATTTCAGCAAATGATTCGAATCAAAGAAACAGAAAGTGAATCTGAATCTAAAGCAGCATCTGAATGATTTAATAAATGAAAATACTAGAAAATATCATGATTAAATAAAACTTAAATAAAGTTAAAAATGTAAATACTTACATAAGCCAAGTTAACAACAATTTTCAGAGGATATATGAATTTAGCATTCTCTATATAGATATCTTTCTCTAAAAGTTGAAAAAGAGTCAGATAGAATCAAAATAATATTTGTCAGAACAGCGAAAAAGGAGAAGGTACTCAACAAAGGCATACACTTGATCAGGTTTAGGTTCTGTTATTTCAGCTTCCCATCTATTTCAGCCCCCCCCCCCCCCTCATTGTCTATGGAAAAACATTATACAAAATTTTGATTTATAAATATGCTATTATTGGAAATTTCAATAAATTCAAGATTAAGTAAAAATATGGGGCAGCAAAAATAAAATTACCTAGACTCAAAATGTCAGTCTTTGACTTTTTCAATTTTCTTTGGACTCTAGCAAACTTGGCAAATTCATTCTGAAAAATGAGAACATACTAAAATAATATAATACTTCAAAAAAGATATAAGTTATCAAGGATAGTAACAAAGTTGTCCACTTTTGCAGTTTATTTGTTATTGCAGTACCAAAAGAGCTGTGAAAAGGACAGGTGGCTAGAATAAGATCATTTGATAGGTATATACCCAGGCCTGGCCATAAGACTTTTAGCAAGGGTATAGCAAACAGCTCTCCTAGCAATCTCTGAGAGAGCTGCTTCTAGATAAATAAGAATAGAAACAAAGGAAAAATTGATTTCAAAGAAAGCATTGCTTTATAGAGCAATCTTGGAGAGCAATCTGTAGCTCCCGTCCAGCATTTGCGGAGAGCCTAGAGGGGAGCAAGAGCTATGGCTCTTCTCACATGGCTAACCTTCAAGTCAAACAATTTACCCATAGGCAGATCAACATGGCTCTCAAGCATATGAATTTAAAAATAAAATGACTAAAATGAAACATGCAAATTACCATTGGACTTAGAGTTTGAATTTCTTTAAGTAGATTCTTTGATGCTTTTCTGAGTTCCACAAGTCTCAATTTCTTGCCATCTTTATCAGGGACAAACTGGGAAGTAAGTTTTAATCAAATTTCAGCTTAAAGACACATCAAGTATCACATTAGTACAAAATGTTAGACCAACATCTTAGACACAGAAAATTGTAGAAATTCTTGTCGTATTTTTGTTACATATTTTATTTTCATGTTTGCAAAATAAAATTCCTGTTTTAAAGTAGAATGCTTTTCATTTTGCGGAAATTTTAATGGATAAACATTAGCAACCAAAGTACTCTTGTAGGTTTCGTCAGCAAAATCATCATCATCAATTCATATTTTCTGAGTAGAGAGAGCATGCAGATTATACCTTGTCAGTTTTGTAAAATATTTCTCCTTTTTATTCACTCAATTTTAAATCTATAAAACAATATTCTGTGATAAAAAATAGCGAAAGGATTTCATTTCTATGTGGAATGTTACCAAATTTTACAAAACCAATTTGCTAATACAGAAATTTTCACAGAAACTAATTTTAGTCAAACATTGCTATATCTCAGCAAACCAGCTTCCTGCCAAATTGTATCTTTAGAGCAAAAGCAACATTTTGTGCATTTTACAGTATTTTTGGGTATTGCAAATCCAAAAACTCTTAGTTACCCACAGAGCTTGAGGTATGATTGAGTTTTTTTTCAAAATTCAACTAAGAAATCATAATATTTTTTGTTTGAAAAGGGTAATTAGTAGCACTAATAATGTGTAATCTTAATCAGACCCGAAACCAGGGGCGGCTGGGAGTAGAAAAGTATTGGTATTAGCCTCTGAAATTAAGACATAAGAAGGCCCCTACTCAAGGTCCTGAAACTACTTAACAGGGGTGGAGCTTACATGTTGTATTAGTTTTCGGAGGTTAATACCATGGCCAGGGATGCTGATTACGGCATGGATTAAACAATCACACTTTTCAATAATTTTAATGAGGATAAGGAAAGCTTTCATTCAACAAACAGAAAAGCAAACATAGCTTGACAGATATGAATAGAGCTGGTGGCATTGAAATAATTGTTGTGAAAAAGTGGCAGCGTACAAAAAGCAAAATGAATTTCCTGCGATCTCAGAGAACTGAAGTCCCCTTCCTTTGAAAATAGAAAGGTATTAGACTAATACCTTAAATACCACCCCACGCCGCCCCTTGACCTAAACATTCCTTTTCAAAAAGCTGTCTTCAAGCCCGATCAAAACTCAAACACAAAAGCTCATAGGCAATATTAGGTTTGTGATCACACGTGCCCACCTCGACACATGCCTAAAACTTCCTAGGCTAGGCATGCTTTTAATTGAACACACAGCAATACAATTTAATTAACTATTTCTTTCTTTTGTTCCTTTTAATTTCTTGTCAGTTTCTTTTGTGTGAGTTATTTTGATAGCATTTCCAGTTTTCGGATCATTTCATTTCTGCATTTTCTTGAACCAATCTCATTACTTCTAGCCAGTCCATTTTGGTCAAAACGAAAAGTGTTTCCATTACTACAATTTAATTCGTTCTCATAACATTTAGTTGAGCTCTTTTTAAAACTGAGAATGCATGACTCTATTTTCAAATGCCCCGGTTTCGCTGTTTCTAATAAAACAACACATTTTCAGATAACTCTGTTTCGAATGACTCCACTTTGAACAACGTATCCAGTGACTCTGGTTTAAGATCAAATACCTCTGTTTTGATGGTATTAATGGGATTGCAAAATCTAAAAAGGATACATTCGAATCTGTTCTCATTGAAAAATGGAGTAATGTCAACAGGGCCTAAGAATTTGCATGCATTTTGTTTTCAAGAAGTTCACTTCTTCAGAAATTCCATAAAAATTATTTGGTTAATAAAAAACTCAACACCTTTTTCTAAACTTTGATATACATCTTCTAATAGATATACTACATTCCAAAGGCTATCACGATGTCCTCATAAAAATCGTAAGCTCTCATAGATCACATGCCATCGCACGCCTTAACTTTCCAAGATTTTACCCCGATGAAGCCATGTATGCCGGGGCGAAATATTAGCATTCGTTTTATTTTATTTATTTTTAATTACATTGGACTCTTGTCGACGTTTTGCTTTGTTCCTGAATTTTACTATGACTTTTAGAGCCGTGCTATTACCAGCACAATTTCATATTACCAAAACTACATAGGCCGGACAGTTGGTACCTGTTTTTGACCCATAAACTGTTCCTCTAGTATAAAGGTCTTCATTGGTGACAAATTGAATTGTCTGTTAATCTCTTATCAGGTGTGCTGCCATCAGGAACATTTTATTTTAGAAAAACAAATTTTGTTGAAAAAATTTACAGATTTTATTGGCACAAAAACATCTATAAAAGCCGATAAAACATTTTTGAACAAAAATACTTACAAGACGTGCTATAGAATCTGAGAATGCAACTATGAGCTCAAAAGAAATCGTAAGGCATGTTATAAATAGAGCCGCCATATTTCCCTTCTTTTCTCAGCTTCTGTAAGAAACCTCGTTCAGGTGGTGGACACGCGATTGACGAAGTGGTTAACTGATGAACTTTTTTTTTCTCATCAATGATTCAACATTTGGCGCTGTTTATATACCGAAAGGCCGCCGGCTCACACATGTTTAGAACAAAACTTGAAAAACTTGAATCTTATTTTTTTTTCCCAACAATTTTAACTAATCAATCCGGGATATTGTTTCTACAATTTCTATGTTGGCTGTGTCCACTTGAACTTTTGTTTGCCTATTTCTGGAACCACGTATGCACAGTATGGGACTTCGAAGTAGTGCAAATGACAGCTTGGTACGAATCCAATTAGTCACCAGTGAAATTGACAGATCACGTTTCTCTGATATCTTGGTAGATAAAACCGATATAAACTTTGCAGTTTCTCTACTTGAACCACCACTGTGAGCGAAAATCTATGGCGTAAAAGAACCATGCTCAACTTGTAAAACCCTTTGACTGTACGCGCGTTTCTTCTCTCTTTCATTCCCTGCAAAACTGTTGTTTAGTTTCTGGTTTCTGTATGACGATGCGAATGGGTTGAATACCCTATCGCACGTATGCTGATGTCAAGCCTTGCCTCTTCTGATATGTTGGAACTTTTTGGGAGATTTTCACCACTGAGATGTTGTAGAGGTGGCTCAATTCTAACATCATTTGAAATTTCTGTTGCTAACTTGCCGAGTAGATCACGTACTTCATTGTGTCGATGATGAATGTATCCACCTTTTTGACAAGACATCGCATGGTCAACGGAAAAGTGTTTTCCGCATACACAAATAGTTGGCATGAACTTTAGATGCCATCTATATCTTAATCGGATTGCGTCGTGGAATTCACGCTTGTTGAGAGCAAAATTTTCAGCCTTCAAAGGAAGAGAAGTGAGCAATGAAGACGCACCTTTCATACAAGACAGCTCGTTTGCTTTGCGTTGATCGAGTGTCATAGATTCTCTTAGCAGTGCAAGTTTCTCCTCATGCGATATTGTTCTTTCATGGGCAATTTCAATCTTCGTTTTTTTCCTTTCATTGTTGTTAAGCGTTAATTCAGTTGCTTGTTGCTTGATATTCATTGATAACTGACTGATCACTCTCTTTGAAAAAGCATATTCTTGATGAACTGATTAACTGATTTACTGATTACTGGAAATCTGTCTTGGAAGCATTTCGCAGAAAGCTGATGCAAGCAAGCCTTTTGTAAACAAAAAGAGCTGCAAAATATATTCTTAGAATATGCATCCGAGATAAGGGGAACTGAAAAAATAATATCAGGATTTTTCATGGCTCAGTAGTTATTTGTTTTCAAGAAAGCAATTTGTAGCAAAAAATGGACAACACTTTTAAACAAAGCTGATACTCTTTGGGATACCACAAGGATGTATCATCGGTCCATTACTGTTTTCTTTGCTGGTAGATGACATTGACAAAAAACTATATACCGTATTATTCTCCGCACTGTTGGCATAATTTTATCTCTGCAGAAAAGACGAATACAAAAATGGAGAAAATTTTGAGTAGTAGATAACAACATACATTCTGCCGGCTCAAACCGAATAAATTTGATCAATGCTAGAAACGTATTTAAGGTCAACTAAGTAGACTTGACAGGTCCTTGGTTGATCGCAGCAATGCAAATCTACTGATTAGGTTTACCCTTTATAAATATGTGTTAATATTGTTTCGTTGTCAAAGGCAAGGTTGCAGGATTCAAAGGGTTTTTCTTCAAAACAAGTGCTTAGCACGTAGGCCATCGCGACCGAATTTTGCTAGAAAGGGGTGTTCGGTGACAAAGTAGTGATATCGCAGGCATGACTCGTGTCCTGCATGTGTCGCCTAAGAACGAAAGAGGAGAAGATATGCTGGACATTTCGACGACCGCCTTCAATTTGCCAACCGATCCTTCTTCCAAGGACCCATTCAATTTCAATGTTCCTGGATCAAATTGTGCCTGTTTTCCAAAAGACGGTATCCATACCTGATTTAACAATAGATATCTTATGCATTATGAAATTAATCCAATTACTCGCATAAAAATGTTTGTAACGTGAAAAACTACTTCAGATTGTTAAGCAGGACCGGTTTCCTTGCATAGATAAAAATCGCATTTGAAGTCATGAGTCACAAACGTTCAAGGTACTTTATGCTTTTAGGATACCTGTTTCTGTGTGTGGCGTGAGCTTTTAGACAAGACCACAGTGATAAATTTTTTATTAATTTGGGAAAGCGTATCAAAATAATAATTAAAAACAAGTGGTGGTTGCATGAAAACTGGTGTTTATGATTATGACAAAGCTACCTATTTGCTGTATTTACAAGACCAGCCATGAAGAACATATGGAGACGGGGGGAAAGTTTCACTGTTTGAAAGTTTTTAAAAGAAGAGAACTCGATCTTTCTAAAGATAAGGTTATAATGATGAGCTTTGTTTGTTCTTCGGACCTTTCAGTAACTTTTCTGTATCCGGATCAGCAATCGAAGTTATTGGTTTTTCCAAGAGGCCAACAGAAATATTTCTGACAGAGAAGGCTTTGCAATAGAAAAGTGAAGGAGAAGGCGTTGATAAACTAAAAAGTTTGATAATATAGTATAGATTGCAAGCCAAAATAGAAAAAAGAAGAATTTTCACTAAATCACCAACTACAATTATTGATTCCAGAGATAGGACAAATGTAAAGGCAAAGAATATGTCCTTTAGGTTGCATAACTTGTTATGTTACCTGTGTCGTGAAACAGCAATTATCAAAATCTGTATTGACACGTCAAAAACTTACAGTTTATGTCGTGGCCTGACAAAAACCTGTTCTATACATTGTCAAATTAACTTTCCTAACCGTGGCAAATTGTCAATGTGATAACCATGACTGTCAAACCTGACGTATATAGTTGCCCACCCCCTGCTGGCTTATAAATAGGACAAATAACAGGGATATCATAGTTAATAAAACATAGTCGAAGCATGACAACACTTGAACTGTTTGTGTTTCCTGGACACAACATGTAAGTGAGACAACGAATTCAGCTGGCTTTCGTTATAAAGGTAACGTTGTTTTAATTAGACTTGTTTCAAAACATAATTCAGTTTAACATATATTACTTTTTCTATTATGACATCGTAATCTTTCTGATAGCTCAAGAAAATATGACAAACAATTTATTCGCTACTGATGTGATGTCACGGTGTTGTTGCAGGGAATAACAGGCAATCTTGATGAAGCTGGCTAAATTAGGAAAACACTGAGGTGTCACGTGAAACGCACACAACAAACATTTTTACTCATATAGAAAAGTAAGTGATAAAAATACTTCAATAAAAGCTAATTGATCACAAGAAGGTCTCAAATCTGGCATACTATGGCTACAAGCTGCATTAATCAATTTCTAACATAGCAAAAATATCCAATTGTTGCTTTAAAAACAATCAATCAGTAGAGTCAAGGCAACATCTGATTGTGTCTTATTCCAAAAGAAAAGAAAGCGAGGCAACGGAATAGTTTTTCCAGATAATTTCAACATGGGACAGAGATCTTTGCCAAACGTCTTAGTAGACTACTACTCTTTCTTTGCTGAATTTTCAAGGCACCCTTCAAAAAAGCTACGGTAGTTTAATCTACAACCAACATTGTTTTAGGAAAGATGGTATGCAGTGTGTCAGCTTTTTTTTACAGTAAGTTGATAATGTTTAAAAAATAACGCATAAGCATTAGGACCCTTTAACGACTCTTTGCAGGGCCCTGGCTCCTTAATACCAAGTTGTTGCAAAAATCTTCCAAACTTACAAAATCTCAAGAAGAAACAGAAACATTAATAGCAATACTGTCTCAAAGTTTCTACTACGCTTAAGTAGGATCTTTGTTAAACAGGCCTCACTCTACAGTAAAAGGGAGGTATAAAATTAAAAGAAGTGAAGGAAGGAAATACTATACATGAAATATACTATCGCTCGCATCTAGTTACTTTCGATCCACACCTAGATATACATTTTCAGCTTACTTTTGGTCATTATCTAACGCTATACTCTGAAGAGTGTTGGACGGGAATTACTTCAGTATGCTATGTTGTTGCTATTTCGTGCCATATACATAATATATATAACCAAAGAAAGGAATTGGTTCAGTCATATATATTTCTTCTGTGCCTAGAATCCCTATTCATAGTCTAGAGTTGTATAAACTTTGTTGGAAAGTTTTATTAGCATAGATTTGCGTAATCAACAATACATCGATCGACCAATGCCTCCTTTGTTTCCAAATGCCGTTCGCCATCACTTACTAGGTTATCACGTATTTTGATTATTATCTTTATCAAAATAAGTTTCTTGTGATTTCATGACTGCTATGTATCTTCTTTACAGGTATCGCAAAATTTAAATTGAAATACTGGAAAAAACTGAAGGAAAATAAAAAATGCCTAAAAAATTCCGGGCAATAGCTAAATTGGCTGCGGCTAATGAGCGGTTTAGATCATCAGAAAAGAAAGACAAATTCAAAGCACTTCAAGAAAAAGTCATCGAAAGAAAGAAGTCAGTTTTGTCAGGCCCCGATAAAAAACCCGACTTAAACAGCAAATATGAAGAAGAGGCAAAGATGGAAAAGGATATGCAACTTCTTTACAATGCAAGGTAAATATATATTACAAAGACCAAAGAATTGCGATTCCCGATAATAATAATGTCTGGAACGTCTCAAGCTTTGCAAAATTTTAGATCTTGCCATGAATTACGCCCATGTAAATAATAAATCTGTGAACTGGGAGAATATTACATAGCTTCGAAATTCACATTATTTCAACAGTTTGGCACTGTATGGCCTAAGTTCTCATTAACTGATGAAACTTATTTCGTTTCACCAAAATTTAAGGAAGAAGCAAGGAATAGCTTTCACAAGCTCTTGGGCGTCTGTCAATACATCTTCCATTACGTAATCATCAAGCAATCATAACCCCTGTTTATTCAATGTATATAGGAATATTTTAGTAATATTCAGAAGTGTAGAGCCAAAAAATGTAGACGGGGTGCCATAGCGCTTTCTCTATAATGTATATAAAATGAGTGTTTCAGTTTTTTCTTCATTTCTCCTCAACAGGGCCATGGCTAGGCAGACCTTGTTTAGGGGGGGGGGGGGGGGTGGGATGGACTACAAATTTTGCAAGTATAGATATAAAATAGATTGAATAGTTCTTCTAATGATATCAAGAGCAAACGGCCTTGTATCTTTTATTGGTATCTTTTATATCTTCAATTATACCAGTTTCTCAAATCATCAAAACAATACACTAAACACTTGTGATAAACCTGAAAATGTTCGTACGTTGATAAAATTAAAACTTCTAAAAACATATACATCATCGACATTATTAGATACGAAATGAGTGATGAAGACTTGGATGAAGCTAGCAGCGGCTTAGAAGATATCTTGGATCAAAATGGATCTAGTACAGAAGAGCCTGTCTCTGAAAGTGAAGATGAGCAGGTCAAGC